TTAGTATGGCGAAACCACGTTGAATATATTGCTGCAAAGGGTGTTTGGGCAGCCAGCTTATTGTAAAGGATGAGCAACAGGAGATCAGGAATGCACAGATTGATTGATATGTGGGGTTTAACGCTCCAAAACCACCATCTGATTATGCGAGACGCTGTAGTGGAGTGGTCCGGAAGGTTTGACCACCTGGTGTTCTTTAACGTGCTCCCAAATCTGAACACACGGCGTCTAGAACATTTCCGCCTCCATCGGAAATGCAGCCGCCGCAGTCGGGATTAGATTCCGCGACCAGCGGGTCAGCAGCCCAGTACCTTAGCCACTAGACAACCGCGGTGGGGCAGGAATGCACGGAGCCTCGTTATTATTAACATATAGCATCTATGTCAAGCCGGTTCTGAAACTTGGATGTGATTTATACTCCGGGGCACCTGCCTATAAGCTGCGTCCTCTTGTTCTTCTGGAGAAGCAGGCACTAAGCATGTGCTTAAGGCTACCTACATTTGTAGCAAATAACGTTTCATATATGGAAGCTACAATTCCCTCACTACTCACCAGATTCAAGATATTGGCTGTGAAAACGTGCTTAAGGGCATTTGAGTCTCCTGTAAGGCGTAAGAAAACAGTTTTCATTGCGCAACCTGGTTGACTTTTTTATTGTCATTGGCCAAAGTTTCACACATCACAACTAAAGTTCGTACGGTCTCTTCTCAACCCACTGTCCACGCAAATTTGAAAGGTTCTTCCAATTCGTAGCTCTCTAAGTTTTCTCCAAATATACTTTGATCACATTTTCGCTAATAGTGCTAAACACCTACCGAGTAATATGTTGAGAGCTACATTACAGGACTACCTGTTAGGAATGCAAGAGCAGGTCACCATTGTGACGGCCGCTTCACAGAGAGAATAAAAGAGTGCCATCAGTATATTCTGCCCTGTTCAAGACTGTATGGTCCTTTTCTTTCTAAATTCCAGATTTCACACCTCTCTTTACTGCAGAATTTTAGCTGTAGCATTGGCCCTTCGAAAACTGCCATAATCAGTGAATTCCTCCGTAATAATAAGGGATCCTTTGTCGGTCTGCAGTGCGCTCCCGGCATCCGGCGATTCGAAAGCAATAGGTGAATTCAACTCTCAAGTACCGAATCACTTAACTCAGGTGCGATTAGTATGGGTGCCGGTGCATAGAGGCATAACTCTAAATGAAACAGCTGATGCACTAGCGAGAGCGGCGTTAGACGGACCAGCTATCAATATTACCCCTACAACAGATTTTATAGTAGCGGTTAATATTCGGAGGTAAATGGTGAGGCGAGAATGCTCTACTTCATCTCTGAGAAATTCCCCGGAGTTCAACCTTCTATTGACACCTTTGAAACCTTCCCCATGTCAATACCGATGCCTGAAAGCTTTAATCACTCGATTGCGCTGTCGTATTCTTTTATTGAATATTTAGTTGTTTAGAGCAAGCTTTACTTCCTCCCTGCGTTGTTCTTTTTTATGAGAAGAGGAAACTGTGGAACACTTTTTGATCTCTTGTGGAAACAATAAGAAAGCTATCACTAGAAATACCACTACGAATTCTTGGATTAGCTCTGACAATGACAAATTTACTATCCCTAGGTGCATACCCTTGGGTACAGCAACGGGAAAGTGTGCGAAGCCGTGCAGTATTTCATTGAACAGTCTATGAGATTTACTCAATAACCTCAATACGAAAAGGTTCTCAGTTAACCAATGTAGGCTACAGGAATTTTTTTTATATCAATCATTTAGTGCTCCTTCAGCAGTAACTAGTTCATCAATGTTTTTCTCAAGAATAGTTTGCAAAAAATTATTATTTCTGTTATTACTTTTTTGCTAGTATTTAAAAATATATAATCCTTTTTTTGTTAAGCTAACCGATTCTTGACCGATCCCCCAGGATGAATGGTTGGTTGGTTGGTTCCTCAACAACTTGGCGCAACCCACCCATGGGCATATTCCATGAATGGGACGCCGACTTGCTTTTTAAATTAATTCACTTCTTGAAAGGAAGATTTCAATTCAATACATAATATAGGTAATAATTTAAAGGTGTTGGATTTCTTAACAAGCAAAAAACCTTGAAAACGATAACAGCATAAACGCACACAAAAAATAAAAAATTCTATACATAAAACAACTGAATTTAGCTATTTTTAGCATTCCGTTCTTTTTGTGCCGCAGCGTTAAGATCTACATCTTTATCTACATCTACCGTCTTTATAAGTGTTTAATCCTATTGGCCAACTGCTGTACACCCTCGTGTATTTTGTCATGTAGTGTACTTGTTCCGAAGGTCGCTTACATTACAGGCAACCCTGATGCACATTTATAGCGCGGCTACTAAGGCGGCTTACGGCAGGTCACTGAAGAACTTACAAAAATGTACAAATTCCACTTCTACTTTTGATCGAAACAACAACAAAAGGAGAAACGGAAAAGGCATCAAAGAAGAAGAAGAAGAAGAAGACGTTTCTTTCGCTGCCAAGAGCCACTTTTTAGGCGACCAAACGAAACAAAACAATGAGTGGAAAACAACCTCGTCATCCCCTGATGGACCGAAGACGCCAGTGAGTGCTCATGGAACTCCTACAGGGCCACTCAGTGCAGCTGAAGCTGCTGCAACAGAGGACCTCACAACGATGGGCCGTTCCTTTCTGTCACCAACCAAAACCGTAGTGTCCCCGAGCCTCCAGCCAGTTGCTTACGCTAAGGGCTTAGAGCCATCTGTCGACTCCAACGGGCCACCAAGAATAGTTCAGCCCCGCACATCGGAACCGGTAGCCGTAGCTTCACCCCGTGCACCTGTGGAAGCTCCTGGGAATCTCAGCACGTACAAAAACTGGCGTGTAAGTATGCACACTGATTTTTGGCAGCATAACCCGCTTTGAATGCAGAACACGACAGGACACGTATGAGGAGGCATTGGTGTACACTTCTATGACAAGCCCTTCTGCGAAATTATAATAGGTAGAGGAAGAAGTAGGTAGGAGAAAGTTGGCAACGCGTTTGCAGCGGAAAGCAACAACTTATGCACTTGTTCGACAGACGCGCAACTGTTGTAGAGACGTGAAGACCTGTGCTACGTGTAGACTTGTGCAGCGGCCTTCATTGATTCAGGTATATATAGAAATAGCAGATTTAGGATATATTGTCACTGTGCCCTAAATGGTTAGTCCATTTCAGTGCGCCATATTAATTTCAATCCGACAAGCACAGGGGGGGGGGGGTTGAAAGTCTGCCAGCACGTGGAGACATCCCATGCTGGCGGAATAATATATGCCTTGCATGTTTTGGAGAATGTCGACTACAGACGATCAGTTGCGTTTTCGGACGACTACATTAAAAAGTGCCACAGGACCCGTTTAGCATTCATGCTTACAGTTCCGTATGTGCGAGTATCGGCAAACTATTTAAAGTAGTGAACACGAGGTAGCGGTGACCTACGGCGCTTCATGCCGCAAACATTCCGCGTAATCTCATCTACCACTAAATGCAATTTTCTGCCCACCTGACGTCGCTACAGCTGCCGAACTTTATCCCGCGGCTGCTACATGCAATCCTTCTGGACATTAAAAGTGGTACACTGTTTACAAATCCTGGCTGGAATACACGCCTGCAGGGAGGAAATCCGGTCAAATTATGGTTGCTTCTATATATATGTGCACACTCGGTTTGTTACGCGGCTCCGTAGCCATGCCTGTGAGGTAGCGGCCCTGTTTAAAGTGGCCTTCAGAATAGCCGTAACAGAGATTATCCGCTCTTTTAAGTCATATTTTTCCTGGCTAGGCACAACCTGTCATAACGCGTGACAGCCCGTAGGGCAGCCTATTTGTATTCGGCCCTAATCAGGTTGGTGAAGAAAAGCAAACTAATTAGAAAACGGGCACTAGCAGATTCGCACAAAGCTGTGACATTAACCTACAAATTACGCACATCACTGGAATCGAACTCGCAACCGCGTGCATTCGAAGCACACACCTTACCCATAGCATTACATCACCGCATAATCGATTGTAGTTTTTCGGGGGTATATATCAACCAGTGTAGTACGAAACGCCGTTCCAAGGAACAACGTTGGAAAAACTAGTTCCTTTTGGGAAGACCGAAGGAACGCCACCATTCCATTCCGAATAGGGGAACTGTAACGGCAACGTGTTACATATATGATGGAATGTCAGGGAGAATGACGTCCCTTTTATAAACGTTCTACTGTATGCAACTGGCGCGCGCACGCACGCAGCACACCACGCAGGGCAGGTAATTTAATTTTTTATTTATTTTATACCGTCAGCCCCGTGCTTGGGACAATTACAGGGAGGGTGTCACATAATACATAGTATTCACACAATAAAACAGTATTGAGTAGCACATAGGAATAACAGATGAATAATTATCATCAGGAAAAAAAGCAACAAACAGCAGTGACTATGTCAATTAAAAATCGAGAAACGAATGCTTGCACCAGAAGTTAGCAGCTATCACTGCATAGGAAGCTCTCTAAAGCGTCTTTAAAGTTGAATGTCGTCCTTTGTTGCACAACCAAATCAGGTAATCTATTCCACATTTCTATTACGTCCTGAAAAAAAGGAGTGGTGGAGAGCATTCGTGCATGTGAAATTGCGTTGAGTAGCTCTGAGCTCTGTTATCATTAAGACGATCACATAGCCTTCCAGGTGGCTGAAAATATTTACAAAGCACCTTGACCCCTCTTCCCTTTCCTACGCATGAGCACCAAAATCTTTAAATTGAGAACAATAACGTAAACGAAGTGACGTAGTTTTACAAGGGTATTGCATGGAGTTAGTTGGTACCTAAGTATATCTTATTTGTGGAGAGGAACTCAACAGGAGGCACAAAAGGAGGGCAGACAAAAGAGGACGTCCTTGTGAACCCTTTTGTTCTTCGTTCCCAGTTTCATTGTTCGAACCACTGCAATCTTGCACTTCATAGAACATGATTTCTACTCGACTTTTCAGGTACCAGCATCATCTGGTCTTTCACCATAGCCCCTTCCCGGAGATGAGCCAACCACCAAAGTCTCGCAAGGTGGCCAGCCAGTTCCCGATGGCGGTCGCAATGTTGGTGGTTTTAAGATGACAAACTCCAGGGACGTCGCTATCGAACGCGCCTTGGAAGCAACGCCTGCCACCCACAAAGACTAGGTGCCGTTTATACACCTCTACTTCTGCGTGCTTTGTATAATCGTCATGATCCTCGTGCTTTATTTAGCTATCGCCATTAAGCAGGGTTCCGAGGTGACGACGTTGGCTCTCACCGATCTACCGAGCTACTACCCCGTGAGGCCGTTGCCGAACGTCACTGGCGACGCGTATCTTCTAACGATAAGCCTTCTTCTCCTGTCACTGGCGACAGGAGAAGAAGGCTTATCGTTGAAGTCCGAAGTGGCAACTGGAAGTGCTGTGGTCGTTGTGGAAGAAGGAGACGAAGCTAGCGTCAGGTTTGTCAGTTGAGTTGAATAAACTTTATTTGCCCAACGGTTGTCACTGTGCCCGGGGCTAGGCTGCCAGGGACACATCGTTCGAGGAACATCTTTTGAGGTCCTCGGTGACGGCCCTGGCCCGCTGGACGGGCCACACCTGGTCTTCGAGGGCCTCGCTCAGAAGGGCGGCTTGCCATCGCTCAGCAAGGTGCCCCGTTTCGGTGGGTCCTTCAGTTGACGTCATCCTTTCTCGTGGCCTATCTTGATCTCTTTCGCATTGCCAAAGTATATGTGCCATATCGGCCCGTTCGTGGGCACACCACGGGCAGCCAGGCGACGGGTGCAGCGTGGGCCATAAGCGGTCCAGATGGTAGGGGTTGGTGAACGTGCCCGTCTGCAGCCTTCTCAGGTCCACCGCCTGCGACCTGTCCAGGCGCACGTGGGGTTGCGGAAATTTCTTCCGGTCTTTCCTATAGTACGCAAGCATGTCGTGGTACGTGGCAGGAAATTCTTCTCCATAGCAGTCGGCACACCTTTGTTGTCTCGCCTCTCCCGCACCAACTTCAGTTGCTGCAGCAACGGACGTGGTGGGGGTGGTAATTTCGGCATTGCCAGTGCCTGTGGCCACCACCGTGCCTCGGCCGGTGCTCCTCCCAACCACGGTGGCGGCTACTCCCTGGGTGGCTGCGTCGCGGCGGGTAAGTTGCCTCGCGACGAGGTGGGCGCGCTCGTTATGGTTGGGTCAGATGCCGGTTATTCTTTGGCTGTTGGCGTTGTTGCTGCTAGTTTTACGGCTGTTGTTGTTGATAGTTCCTCTGTTTCCCATGTGAGCGGGAAACCACTTGAGGGCCTTGTCAGTAATCTTGCCTGACGCGAAGTCTCCAGCTCTGGCGTTAAGCATGCGTGCCACCTCCTCAGACACCCAGCCTTTAATATAGCTCCGATTTGCTGATTTAGAATCGCTAATAATTATGCTGTCGTCTGCACCGCTGTGGAGTACTGCTAAAGCTATGGTCATTTTTTCTGCAGCTTCGGATGATGGCAGCCGTGCTGATGCCGTGACCCGAACTTTCCTGTTATATCCAAGACCGCCATAGAGAAAGCAGGTCCCTCTGCCGCTGACCGGACTCGCTGTAGATGTTGCCGCTGTCGCTGCAGTCATTGTTGTCGTAGCAGTAGCAGTGGTGGTAGTGTTAGCGCCTCGACTTCGCCTTGCTCGTTCACGGGTAGCGGTGGGGGTTCCGAGCATCCCCCATGGCCCCCGCCGGCTGACAGCGGATACCTGGCAGCATCGACGAAAAGGACACCTTCTTGGTTTCCATGCGCCTTCAGGATTGCCGCAGCTGTGCATTTGCGTCGTTGCAAGTCGTGAACGGGGTGCATGTTCCTGGGGATGTTTTCTGTCAGTGTGGCGTCCCTGACTTCTGGTAGCAATGCTTCCTTCAGTCCACGCGCCTCGTGATTTCAAATCCCAAGAAGATCGAGAATGCGTCTTCCCGTCTTGTGCCAGAGAACCTCTCGAGCTGCGTGATCCTCTGCGCTTCTGCTATCTCGTCGAGGGTGTTGTTCACACCCAGCTCCAGAAGCCGACGGGTTTCCGGATACTGGGGCACACCCAGGGCTACCTTGAACGCTCGACGAATCGCCGCGTTCAGCTTCTCGATTTCGCTTCTGTTCCAGCCGGCATATGCGGCGACATACACTATGTGGCTCAGCGCATACGCATGTATTAACTTCGTCACGTTGTTTTCCTTCAGCCCTTTTATTTTTGTCGCTACCCGACGCACAAGGTGCGTTGTGGCGGCCACTTCCTTTTGCAGTCGTGCTACCAGCTCGTGGTTCGCACCGTTCTCTTCCAGCCACAGGCCGAGCACTCGTATTTTGGACACCGTTGGTATTTGGGTCCCCTCTTTCGTCATGACGCGGATGCCCAAGCGACGGGCGTCCAGTACAGCCTGTGGGTGAGGTCCTTTCTTGCGTGGTCTATGCAGGAGTATTTCCGATTTATCGGGAGAGCAGACAAGTCCCGTGCCTTCGAGGTGCCGCTCCACGGCCCGGACGGCCTGCTGCATTCTCTCTCGCATTTCACCAACGCTCGTATTCGCTGTTGTCCACACGGTCACGTCGTCCGCGTAGATCGTGTGATTGATGCCCTCTATTGCGTCGAGACGGTCCGGTAGTCCGATCATGATGAGGTTGAAAAGCATGGGAGAGAGCACCGAGCCCTGTGGCGTACCCGCACACCCCATGTCAACTGTTCGTGGTGGGGCACCGTCGACCTTCACCGTCACCTTGCGTCCGGTCAGGGAGCTGCTGACTTACCGGTGGAACCTTGAACCAAGACCTAGTTGGCTGATCTTGTCCAAAATGGCAGCATGTTTTACTGTACCGAAGGCGCTTTTGAGGTCTAACCCTAGCAGGGCGCGCACGTGCGTGCTTGGTGCGTTAATGACCTGTTCCTTGATTTGCAGCATAGCGTCCTGCGTCGAAAGTCCTTTGCGCAAGCCGATGATGTGAGTGCCGAAGGCATCCCACTTCTCGAGAAACGTCGTCACCCTGTTGAGGCAGGCGTGCTCCATGACTTTCCCGACACAGGACGTCAGAGATATCGGCCTCAAATTTCGAACCTCAAGCGGTTTACCTGGCTTGGGTACTAGTATGACATCCGCTGTCTTCCATTCTTGTGGAATGCGGCCTTCCTTCCAGCATGCGTTGATATACTGACGTAGCTTCTCGATGGCGTCATCATTCAGGTTCCACAGAATTCGGTTGGTGATCTTGTCAGGACCGGGCGCCGATTTAGTCTTCAGTAGATGGAGGACTTCTCTAATTTCCTGCATGGAAAATTCCGCATCTAGTTCCTCGTTAAGAGCCCCACAGTATTCCATGTGACTCTCGCCTGCCGGGCGAGTGAGGTGCATCTGGATGATCTCCTCCACGAAGGCCTGCGGGTCGTCTTTGTTCTTTTGTCGCAGCTTGGCCATCTGGACACGAGTCGCCGTTCTAGTGCTGGTTGGATCTAGCAGGTGCCTGTGAATCTTCCATGTGCCCCCTGCACTCATGTTTGCGTCCATCGTATCGCACAGCTCCTGCCATTCCTGTTCACACAGTCGAACGCAGTGGGCCTCAATCTCTCGGTTGATCTCAGCAATCTTCTCGCGTATCTTCCTGTTCAGTTTCTGCTGACTCGCTCTTTGCTGCATAGATTTCTTCGCCTCTACAAGATGCGCAAGCCGGCTGTCCACCCTGGGCGGCTCGGGAACACTGTCGTCGACGCTTCCGCAGGGCCTGTCGCCACCTTCAGGCTCTTTTCGCCTGTCTGGCCATTCTGTTTCTTTTGTAGCTTTTTCTACGTCCGCGAGTAGTTCCCTGCACCATTCCCCGATATCCTCGATCGGGCCTTCCTGCTTCTCTCGTTCTCTTTGCTCTCGAAACTTGTCCCAGTCCACGACTCTAGCTTTTTGGCGGCCGTTCATTTTGCCTCTATCCTCTCCCATCGTCGTGCACAGGACTCTGTGGTCGCTCCCCAGATCTTCAAAGGTGTTCGACCAGGCGATCGCGCCCGCGTCTGACCAAATGGAGAGATCAGGGGACGTGTCGTGGCACGCGCCCTGTCTAATCCGGGTGTGCGATGCCGGTTCATTGAGTAGAACCAAGCCAAGCTCGTCCATAAGTTCGGCCAGCCTCTTCCCTTTGGGCGAGTCGGCTCCATATCCCCATTGCGTGTGCGGTGCATTGAAGTCTCCGCAGATTAAGAGGGGACTGTAGGCGGCCTTCACCATCGCTTTGCGAAAAAGGGTGCCAAAGTTGTGCGTGAGGCCCCTTTTTTAAGGGGGGCTGTACACGTTAGGCACGAATAGGCCGTTCTTCTGGTTTCCAATGCAGGGCACGACCTCAATCAGGTTGTGGTCTATGTCCGACTCCTCGCTGATATCAAGTGAATGGTCGATAAAGGCCGTCCCTCACTTAACTAGGGTACACACCTTTATGTCCTTACGCGTGCATTGACACGGAGAGTCACACGCCACATAGCCTGGTAGCTGAGCCCGGTCGAATGGTTCTTCCAAAGCAATCACGTCGAGAAGTTTGCTTTTTGAGAGAGTTTTCATATATTGCACCATTGTAGCTTTTTTGTTTTTGAAGCCCCTACAGTTCCATTGCCAGACGATGCGTCTGCCGACAAACTGGCGGAACGCAGCCATGGTTGCTATTCAAAGGCGTTGGGGGAACGCGACTGTCCGTGCGTCCCTCCTTTTTCAGTGTGGGTGGTGTTGACATTGCTGCTTCTGTTGAGGATGGTCGATGCGTCCCCTCCCAATTCGTCGTGGCCTTGTCCCTGTTGCTGCAACTGCGCCATCCCGCGTTCTAGATATTCGATGCGCTTATTCACGGCCGCAAGTTGGTTATTGACCGCGGCATACTGTGCGTTCCTTTCGGCGTCAGACTCGTTCAGCCGAATTAGGAGCGCCTCAAACTGTCGCTCTGTCTTGTTGGTTAGTTTGTCTACCATTTCTTCGATCACGTCTATCTTTCGGCCTGCCGGTCGTGCCCGCTTCGGCTCTTGCGTGTGACTTTCAGCGCCTTCAAAATATTAAGAATCGCTTGGGCTCTTACATTTAAAGCCCACCGCCACCGGCGCTTCATATTCACCTCCACAGTCCATGTCCGTGTCCCCGTCTCCTACTGCTGAAGTTGTGTCGCGTTCATCGGCAGCTCCATGGGACGAGGAGGCGCCAGAGGATGGGGTCTCTGCGGGGTGTCCTCCCATTCGCTTAAGGATTTTGTTCAGTGTCTGTTGTAGCTCCTCAATTTTCCGCGTTGATTTTTCATTCTGCTTTCTGGCCTTGGCCAACTCTTGTCTAAGCTCCCTATTCTCTTTCTCCATGTTCTCCATCCTCGCTGCCTGGCTGGGGTCGGCGGCTGCCTACGGGCGGCCGGAGAAAGGGTGCCCCTGTGCGGAGTCCGGCTTTGTTCCCGTGACTACGTCACGCCAGGTGATTTTGCGTGGCCCTTTCTGTTTCCCACCAGGTGTGGCCCCTCCAATGTCTTGTTGGGGGTGGTAGAGTGTACTAGAACTTTTGAGTGGCGCGACCGAAACGCTTTCCCCTTGCTTTCTCCATCCCCAACTTGTGGCGAAAGTAGCGGTGGCGCTGCCATCGCCCAATCTACCCACTTGGTTTACTCGGCTGGCTCGGCGGCATGGCCGGCATCTTGGTTTTAGTCGCGAAATGACGAAGAAGCAGCGTCTAAACCATTGTTACGCGCCAGGTTGCACAACTGGATATTCGCATGTGCAACAAAGTCGGAAGTTATCGCTTTTTAAGGCCCCGAAAGACGAAGAACGACGACTTCTTTGGGAGCAGAACGTCCATCGGCTTGACAAGCCACTTGACGCCGATTGTGCTGTGTTCGAGTTACATTTCGAACCGCAATTCATTGTGAGAGACTACGTACATGTTATCAATGGTGTTCAAGTCCGAATTCCTAGGGCAACGCCGACACTCGCCCCTGATGCAGTCCCGACGATCTTACCCAACCTGCCTGCATATTTGACGCTCAAAACTCCGGCTGCGTGGACCCAAACGAAGCGGCGGCATCAGTGTGTGCCGGCTGAGAATGACAACAGAAAACGGCGACGCATTAGCACTCCTGCACAGCTCCTTGTGGATACCAACGGTGCAACTTCTTCAGATGGCGACGAAGCTGACGAGGCAAGCTCAAGTCCCTCGTCTGACGCGGTTGTCACTCTCGGTGACCTTCGTGGTCTTGTCCTACCATCAAAGTCATGGGCGCTGCACGAGTTTCCTGGATTTGACGGCGTGTCGTACGTAGCGTCTTCACTGAATCCTAGCACTCGTGAACTTTGCATTCAACGAGCCGTACACTTCACCTGTGCAGACAATGGAAGCGTGCAATGTGAAGCGTTCGTGCAAGAGAAACTGATCAGTAAGTCCAGTTTAGTAACTGTTCGAGAAGCCTCGGATGCTCTGCAGCTTGTTGCAAGCGTCCCACTCTGTTGTGGAGCAGCAGAAACTTCATTTCTGCCACCATCGGACCTTACCCACGGTCTACACGCGCAAATGAAGTCAAGAGGAGATATCTTCTACAGTGTCAAATGCATCGGGAAATCAGCTAAGGAAGGTGAGTGTATGACATGAACATTGTCTAGCATAAAGCCCTAGCACTAAGCGTGACAGTCCTAAGTGAACAAGAATTTCTGAATATATGCTATTGGGACAAGTTTCGATTGCTTTAGCCTAGCTTAGTGATAGTTACTGAGGAAAATCAAGCTGTATGTTCTAGCTGAGATGCATTTTGTGTATGTTTGCCAAAATGTTCTTAGTGTTTTTTTTTCTTGGCATCTTTAGCTGTGTGCAGTGTGGCTAAGAATGGGAATACATTTCTCTTTAAATGTTTCTTTCAGGATCCCCATGTGTGTCATGTAAATACCTCCGTAAAGCTCTGCAGACCAGGAAATCGCGGCTGAAGAGAAAAGCAGCAAAAAGAACCTGCAAGAGGGTCAACAGGCTCCAAACTGTTACCAAGAGGGTCAAGAGACTGGCCTCAAAGGTGCATTGTTTGAGTGACACCATCTCCAGAATGAAAGATGCAACAGCTGAGGACATTTTACAACAGAAGTTGCAAAGTCTTTCGCAGAAGCAACAGCAAGCTGTGAGACAGTGTTTTGAAGCTGCAAAAAGAAAAAGCACACGGGGCATGAAGTTTAACAAGGAATGGATGCTGGAGTGCATACTTCTTCGAATGCGCAGTCCCAAACTGTATGACTACATCCGGAGACAATATATCCTAGTGCTTCCAGGAAACACAACTATCAGAAAGTATATATCAAGCTACATGGCTAATTTTGGTTTTAATGAAAACATGCTGCAAACACTAAAAAAGAAGACTGCCACAATGGACAGATTCAAGTGTCAGGGAGGTATCGTGATAGATGAAATGAAACTGTCTGAGCACTTGTCTGTCAACACAGCTGGCAAGGTCAATGGTTTCGTCGACTTGGGTGCCTACACACCTGAAGAACAAAAGCAACTGCCTTGTGACAACGGTCTTGTGGTAATGTTTGCGCCCCTCATTGGTAGCTGGAGCCAAATACTGGGAACATTTGCCACACGCACCAACATCAAGGGGGAGTTACTTGCAAAGATAGTGCTGGAGGCGACAATTCTGGCAGAGAAAGCAGGGCTTTTCGTCAACTACGTCACATGCGATGCCGCGACATGGAACAGAAAGATGTGGCGCATGATGGGTGTGAAGGCAAATTCAAAAGAAGTTATTGCTAAGAGAGTGCATCCTTCTGACGACAAGAGGTCTCTGTACTTCCTATCGGATTTTCCGCACCTTGTGAAGAACATTCGCAACAAACTTCTTCAAACAAGCTTCCACACACCAGATGGAAAGGTGAATATGTTATTCTTTTAGAAGGCTGCAAATTTACTTGAGACGCCCTTCACATCTCGCTTGCACCTTGACATGTTTCTGAAAACAATGTCGAGCATGCAGTATGGAAGAGCTACAGAACTCTTGCCTGAAAATTTGGCAACCATTGCATAAATATAGTAAGGTAACAGGACTTGGTGTTCAAAGCAAAGTAAATGTCAGATACCAAATGCCATTTTTATGCTACATTTTTCATGTATCTGCCATTGGATAATTGCACTGCATGCCACATTTTTTTTCTCTTACTCCAGGTTTCTATGGCGCCATTTGCCGCACTAATATTACTAGTCTCGCTTGTCTCAAGAAGTCGTGGCCTTGACATTTTCTGTGTACTACCGGAAACGGTGCAGCTTTATGAAGTAATGCTTTGCTTTGTAGCCATACATGCTTTTCATGCGCACGCTTACATATACCGAGCAGCTTACCTCAAATTATTAGGGCACAAGCTACCGCGCGGTGTTACAGTGCCCTGTAATTCTGAAAAATGTACCTTGATATTTGGCACCATAACTCGGGCACCCACCCCAAGTTGTCGAAATTTACGGCAGTGTGGTTTTGAGACGTTGAACGTCAACAAATAATAATGCTCTTGAATGAAAGAGCTCGCTTCGCAGAAATTATTGCATCGGCATCAGTGTCTGCATGGGCGTCGTTGTTTGTGAGCGAAAAATCATCTTAAGCGCGACCTAAAAATTCAAAGACGCAAATAAAATGAATAATTGTGGGTAGAAGTGAGGATCGTACATATGCCGCTTTCGTGGCAAGCAGGCGTTCAACTTATATACGCAGTTAAATAACTTCCTCTGCTTGGAAATGCAATGAAAATAACCATGCTTTAAAGACACGCGTCATACAAGCTTCAAATTGAAACCTGTAATATCGCAGTAACATTTCGTGGTACAAGCGTACATTGCTATCGGGCGTCAGAACATGTCATCATAACCACTTCATAGTTTAGAGCCGGCCACCGATAACAAAACGCACACACGTTACGGCGCGTATTTTCTTGAACCATGTGGTGGGTCCATAGCAAGTTGGAAGACTTTCACGCGGATAAGTGTTCGTGATCTGAAGCATGCCACCCGTTATGCATAATGCAGCCATCTGTGAATGCTTCCTAGACACAAGCAACTTTCACCATTATGAATTACATTGCGGCAATCTACAATTTGAACTTTTTGTGTAACATCAAGCAATTGAAGTACGCACTAAGTCGTTGAGGCACGCACTAGGGACAAGATATTGCTATCGAATCCAACACTTGAAGATGTAGATAAGGGTATACCCCAATTTTCCCTCTCACGTGTATACCATTTCCTTAATTAAAAAAACACGGTTGATCCTTTCGTCTAAGGAATCGGTTTAGCCAGAAAATGAAATGTATATTTTTAGAAGTAGTTGAATGTAAAGGTTCATCTTCAGTGACACCTATTTAGCATGAAACTGCGTAAAAAGAAAAGAATTGGCAGATCCCACGTACAGTGGGAATTGCTGATTTCCAAAGCACGGAGGAGGAAGGTTGATATGTCACTTTAAAATCAGCACAGCATTACAAAGTGGAGGTAAATTATTCCGTACATGACTTTCATGTCATGATTATCACGTTTGGACGGGCCATTTATTTTCGTCATCTATTCACGTCCCTTGATACCAATTTTGGTATATGTAGTGCTAGCGAAATGGCCGTGAGCGGGCTATGAGCATAGCATATAGTCAACTTTTACATGGCATGAATATCATGATTATCATGTTTGGACGTGTCACATACCTTCGTCGTCCATTAACGTACCGTAATACCAAACTTGGTATATGTAAAGCTTGCGAAACGGCGGCGCGCAGACGTAACATTGACGCGCGCGCACGCTGCGCGCAGGGACGCTACTCTAGCAAAACGCGAGAACTCTTTAGTCCGACCACGGACGCCTGGAACGACGTTACCCAAACAGCACCGCGTCTGTTTAGCTTCGTGAATGAAGGACGCCAGGCGCGCTCAAACGCGCATGCGTCAAAGCAACGCAGCGCGCCGTGCGCCTGCGAGCATATGCCATGCTAATCGGCGCCTGGCGTGACGCGACGAAACGAACGCCGACGTGCACGCGCGCCGGGTCACGTAGAAGTCTTTTGGCGTCTTGAGTGTGGCACGAATCATGTTTTTACATGACACACGTCTCATGATTATCATGTTTATACCAGTGACATACCTTCGCCACACTCAAGTGACGTAATACCAAATTTGGCGTAAACGAACCCAGCGAAACGGCTGCGAGCACATCATGCGTGTGGCATGTACTCATGTTGTTACATGACATGCATGTCATGATTATCATGATTGGACGTGTTATTTACATGTCATCCGTTGACGTAACGTAATACCAAATTCGGTACATGTGAAGCTAACGAAATGGCAGCGAGCGCATCATGAGCGTAGCGTGTAGTCAAGTTCTTAAATGACACGCATCTCATGATTATCCATGTTTGCATGAGTCACATACCTTCGTCATCCATTCCCGTCCCGTAATACCCAATTTGGTGCATGTGAAGCTAGCGAAACGACCGCGAGCACATAACGAGTGTGGCATGTAGTCTTGTTACATGACATGCGTCTCATGATTATCATGTTTGAACCAGTCATATACCTTCATCATCCATTCACGTCACGTAATACCAAATGTGGTGTATGTGAATAGGGAAACGACAGCAAGTGTACCATGATCATGGAGCGAAGTCATGAATCATGACTTACAAGGTTTACATGACATGCATGTCATGATTTCTACGTTAGCGTCTGTCACTTGTGTTCGCAGTGCAGTCATTTCATATCATGCCAATTTTGCAACATGTCATGTGAACAAAACCACCGCAAGAGCAACAAGACCATGAAATGTAAATCATGACATTCATGACTTGACATGACAGTCAGGTGTATGACTAGCCAGTTATACTCGCCATACAGTCATGTTATGCCATGCCAAATTCGGTATTTATAGCACTAACGGAAACGGCCAGGAGAGCTAAAAGCCGTAGGCGGATAGATAGATAGATAGATAGATAGATAGATAGATAGATAGATAGATAGATAGATAGATAGATAGATAGATAGATAGATAGATAGATAGATAGATAGATAGATAGATAGATAGATAGATAGATAGATAGATAGATACCCTCAATATCGCCGAAGTTCGCTAAGAAATTAATGCTTCACATTTAAAATAAAACAAGCTTTTACTTTAAAAAAAGTATTGAACAGAGTCGAGCGTTGCGGTTGGTGGAGAAAGTGCAGCGACAAAGAAGTGTGTTGGGAGTGGGCGGAGAAGCCGACAGGTGCGTGTGCTGGGGCGAGCGTGCTGCGTGTGACGGTGAGAGTGACGTCAGGCTGCATCTGCAACAGAAGCGAGCGAGGGGAGCGTGATGTGTATGTGCAGCTGCGGCTTAACCCCCTTGGCAGAGCTCCAACATCTGTGGCGAGGAGAAGCGTCGCGGCACGTTCGTACAGACGCACGTACGTACGGCATGGCGCGCGTGGGTCAAAAAGCTGCTGCGCATTTAAAAATGAACACAAAAGGCACTAAAAACAGTGATGTTGCGTTTCTGACTTGCCTTCGTTCATTTGAGCTGCCACTGTGAGACATCCATATATCATGAAACATGAACACAGAAGGCACTAAAAACGGTGATGTTGTGTTTCTGACTTGCCTTTGTTCTTTTGAGCTGCCACTGTAAGACATCCATATATCATGAAACCCAGAGCGCCTTTGAATCAGATGAGATTGATAATAACACCGTAGTATAGCAGTGCTACTACATATGTCGGATGTTTCTCTGTGAATACGAAAGGGGTGGGTGGAATTCCCCCAGAAGAGCTCTAGAATATTTGTCGAACATTATGTAAAACTGCTATGATGCTTCTGGCCATTTGCTTTTGGACAGAGGCGCCAGCGTGGCAACGCGTTTCTTTTTACAACTAAACCCGTTACCACGCCATGGACTATTTTTGGCTCCGTAGTTGTCCACCGCCACTCCCACCAAAGTCCTCAATATCACTCGAAATGAAAAAATCGCAGCATATGCATGGAGTGAATGATAATGAGGGGGGTGAAGCGTTCATTCGTCCGTGTGTACGAACGTGCGAGCGGGCTGATGGACGCATGAATGGACGGACGAACGGAAGCATGGTATGGACCAACGCATTGCCGGACGTTCTTCCAGCAACCCGCGTCGACGCCTGTTTCAACCGGTGTCAACGCCTTGCGCACCACTGCTGCTTCGCATCCCATCACGGTTTCCTTCAGGGAGATGGTGAATATTTTCACTTTCTCACTATAATGTTACGTGCACCGACACGCTCAACTGTCGATTCAAACGCATGTACGTTGTTCCTTTTGTTGCCTAAAAGATATTGACTTATAACGAAATGTAAGTTCAATGCTGTTAAAAGAGAGAATTCAGATAAGAATGAAAGAATAACAACGTACATTTAAAACACCTTGACTCATCTTTACATATTACTGTTAGCACGACTACTTCCACTTTCAATCACTCGAGCCCACTGTGTCGTGTCGCAATTGTGTACGTAACTTTGCGTTTAATACAGATCATTGCCACCTCACTACCTAATACTTTTATGAACTTTATATTGCGAAGCAGCCAGCCTACGAGTGAGCACATGCGAGTAACTAGGTAGTTCTACATCAGTGCTCCAATGTTTATGTACAGATATCACGCGTACTGTTAAGGGAACACTAGCGTAGCCGCCATACTGGATTTAAATCTTGATCAATCACAGTGGCTCAAGTTTACGAAAAACCACCGGTGGGCGAGAGTTTCACTCCTTTTGACAGACTTGGGCCATGCATGAACATTTTTTTATCGACGCGCTGTTCGAGGGTCGGGAAATGAACGGTGCCCCTTGTAGTGTTTTATCTAATAGTGGACCACTCGTGCCGCAAGTTTGGGTGCTTTGTTATCGCAATATATGCCACTGAATTCTTCACTACAATATCAATGAGAACCAACACACAGAGATACCAGTATTCTACATATATACACCACAAAGTAGAAGGGGGGAGGGGGGAGGCCACTGTTGTAGCTCAGTTGGTAGAGCATCGAACGCGTTATTTCAAGGTTGTAGGTTCGGTCTCTTCCAACGACAAGTAATTTTTTTGTCCACTTTCTTTCTTCCCATTCGCATTGACGTGACAACTTATAAGATACCCTCTACATTCATTGACCTGTCGTATTTCTCAATAATACTGCGTCTATCAAAACAAAAACAAGCTTGTAAGTTGGCACTTCTAAACCATGATATCAAAAACACGTTTATAATTATTTATCAATTAACTCATTTGATACGATGCAAAGACACTTACCGGGTGACGACTGAATCTAAACACTGGTGTAAGCTTTGAAGATCAGTGTAGATGTCTACGCTCAGAAATATCGCTTGTTTTTTGTAGTGGTCTGGTCCCGGCCAATGCGCTGAAACAACACGTCAAAAGTACACATTAAAAACTGCCGCATATACGTTTTTATTACTGTTGTTGGCAGGATATACGTATGTACACGTATGCTGCTCGCCGTTTGGTCTGGCTATAAATGAAACACGTGGATCTATCTCTTCAGCTTTAGCCTGGTTATATACCCAGAGAGGTCGCAGATGGGTTGTTCGTCCGTCGTAGTGCTGCAGCGGCTGCCCTCGCTCACTTGCTTGCGCGTCAACACTGAGAAAGATTTGCTCTAGTGAAGTGTCGGTGATATAGAAGTCTTGCAGCTTGAAGCGCTTCTTTATCCTTGCCATGCGGGTGAACCATCTCGCTCCAGAGCATCTGAATCCGGGATACCCGGAACTCAAGCAGTCCCTGCACTCCAGAAAAGAAGCGATGCGGCTCTTTGAAGTTCCATACTATTGGCACAAAAGTGCTCCCGTTTCTGATTTTGTGTCAACGACCCGTTTCGTTACACGCCTAACAATTTCCTAGCACAGGTTGTGCAGAGATATCTCGGAAAGTTCCCAAATTATTTAGAATCCTGCGATAAGATTACGCGCACATTGCTAGGATAGAGTTTATCCTAGGATTAATGCAGCCACCAACAATGCTCCGGGAATATTTCAGGTTACAAGCATGAATGCCGACCTGCTTTACAGGCATTTATGCTTGTGAATACAAAATACATTATGGTTGTGCACCGTGTCGAAGGCCTAACGCCGCCGAGATTTCCTCGCGAGCACACGTCAATCCCAGACCCAACATTGATGTCGACCAGTGACATTGATGTCGACCAGTAACCGCGGTTGTCATGACACATGGTGCGCAGCAGTGTAAACGCTACTCAATGTTATGGGTGCGTGCCCCCTTCTGGCATTTGTGTATATGAAATGTCGCTAACATCGATTGCATACCAGGCGTCTGCCATCAGCTCCTTCACTTCCTCCGTTGCCGCCGCAACAAAGTGATCCTGCTACCCTTCCTCTGCTTCTCTATTACTTCACTGTACGCCTTAGAGCTAATTAGATCACTTGACGATCGATGAGGTTTCGCGCCGTTACGCATTCAGTATCAATATTTTCTTGGCGCAAGTTCAACAATAATTGTTTTCTCCAACGTCACAATCACGTGGCATTATCTGATTCATACAATCTTTAAAAGTGCTCCTTCATGACAAAATGGTTTTTTAAAGAATACGAATATAAAACAACGCATTTCGTTAGAAGCATTTTGTAATGCGTGGCAGAATCTTAAAATTGCACCAGGGGTCAAAACGTGCACAATTAAGAAGTACACAGCTGCGCCGGTACGCGTGCAACCTTGCGGACCTATTATCAGGTATTTCGGAAAATTTAAATCGAAAAAAATATGTCATAGAAGGCACTTTGAAGCAGAATTTGCTGTAGGCATTCTAGGATTCCTTGGAACAATCAGTCATACACCTTCAAGTATTTCTCTCTAGAAGTGTGCTTGAAGCGAAGCTATACAGCGTTCTCCAGCTTTTCTGCATGAACGCATGTACAGCTGTCAGCACCTTTACCTTGAACACTCCGGCGCGTGTCCTCAGCTTGCTTGGATTGAGGTCAACACCACCAAGCGCTGAAAATGATATTGTTACACAAGGCGAGGGAATTATTGGGGTTTTAATGGGCCCTGAGTCCGCGATCACCGTATAATGATGATGATCTCCACCGCCATGGCTCGTACTCACTCAGAGGGATCGCAGTGGAGGCAACGTTGTCTTCATTCTCTACCCGCGCTTCCCTTGTTTTTTCTGGTAGTGATACTTCTTATCATTCCTCCGGTCACAGACGAAGCCCTCTGGGCGAGTCATTCTTGCATCCTCCGTGTAAACGGCTTCAGGCGGGCAACATGCGTCACCTCTGTCTTGCTTGAACGTCGGCCACTAGTGGTGACACGTGCAATTTCATAGTTGACCTCGCTGAACGATGAAGTATCACGAAAGGACCGGCGTAGTGTGCCAGTAGCTTTTGGCTCAAGCCACGTCTGCGCATTGGGATCCACACCACACTAGATCACCGGGGCATAGGTTACATGCCTGTGTTGACTGTCGTAGCGAGTTTTGGAGGACTCTTGCGCTGCCAGTGTACGTAGGCAGGCAAGTCGACGTGTCTCTTCCGCACGACACAAAGTTTCCGCAATTGTTAAATCGTCATGGACGACAAAAGGAAAGATAATGTCCAGCGTATGTCGAGGTGAGCGAGCGTAAGAGCAGATAGAAAGGGCTGTAGCCTGTCGTTTCGTGTTTCGACGTGTTGAAGGCGTACGTGACGAATGGTAAAACTTCATCCCAGTTTTTGTGGTTGGAGGCGACGTACATTGACAACATGTTGATCAACGTTCGGTTTGTGCGCTCGGTGAGGCCGTAGTTTGTGGATGATACGCAGTTGAGTGTCGGACACTTGGAAGCACACAAATGAAGTAATTATTCGACAATATCAGCGGTAAATTGTCGTCCACGGTCACTTATTATCACGCGAAGAGGTCAGTGTCGGAGGATGACCGAATTCGACAGGAGCTCCGAAACCTGGACTGCAGTGGCGGAGCATAAGGCAGCCGTCTCGCAGTACCACGTAGGTAGTCGGCGCATACAATTTTCCACCGGTTACCTTTTGAGGAGCGTGAAAATGGTCCCATCAGATCGATGCCGACCTTATCAAAAGGGGAACCGGGGGCTTTACAGGTTGCAGGTGACCAACTGGACCCGAGGAGGGCCGCTTGTGGCTCTGGCACTGCATACAGCTGGCCACGTAGTTCTTAATTGTCTTGCTCATTTTCGGCCAATAGAACCGCTCTTTCGTGCGACTAAGTGTTCGTGCGGTGCCCTAGATGGCCAGAGGTGGGGTCATCATGCGTGAGACGCAGAACAGACGTTTGAGAGACGCAGGAACAACTAGCAGAAAGCGGGCGCCCGTCGTGGAGAAGTTTTCTCTGGTAAAGAAGACCATTTGTACGCAGAATCGGCCTTCGCTTAATGAATTTCTCGCTCCAGGAAAGAGAGCTTTCAAGCTTGGGTAATTACGCTGCTCAGCGGCAAAAGTCACGGCATCGGGAAAGCCAGACGACAGCGAAGCGATAAGGTGGTCAAAGTTATCGCCTTCACAATCTGTCGATGGTAGCGGCATTCTGGAGAGGCAATCCGCATCAGCGTGTAGACGGCCGGTCTTGTATGAAATGGTGAAGACATGTTCTTGCAAACGAATGGCCCATCGTGCGAGGCGGCGGATGGGTCACGAAGGTTGACCAGCCAACACAGAGAATGGTGATCTGTGACGATAGTGAACGGGCGACCATAGATGTATGAGCGAAACCGTTGCACGGCCAAGACTACCGCTAGGCGTTCCTGTTCGGTCACTGTGTAGTTGCGTTCAGGCCTGCTTAAAGAACGACTTGCGTACGCCACAACGTGTTCCTTCTTGCCAGAACGCTGAACGAGAACAGCACCGATACCGATGCCACTTGCGTCTGTGTGAATTTCCGTGGGCGACAAAGGATTGAAGTGCCGAAGTATTGGCTGCGAAGTTAACAAACACTTTCAGCTTGTGAAAAGCGGCATCGCACTCGGAGGTCCACTGAAACCGGCTGTTCTTGCGTAGAAGGCTCATCAGGGGGTGAACGACATCCGCAAACTTGGGTACGAACCGGCGGAAATACGAGCAGAGCCCAATGAAGCTACGCAGTTGTTTCACAGATTTAGGACGCTCGAATGATTCAACGGCCGCTGTCTTTTGCGGGTCAGGTCTAATGCATCTTTGTCGACGAGATGTCCTAACACCAATGTCTGTCGCTCGCCAAAGTGGCACTTTTTTGAATTCACTACAAGGCCAGCTTTTTCAATTGCAGCTGAGCACGAGGTCTAGGCGAGTGTTGTGCTCCTCAAACGTACGGCCAAAAATTACGACATCATCAAGGTAACACATACATATATGCCATTTTCAACCACGCAATATACAGTCCATAAATCTTTAGAAGTCGCAGGAGCATTACATAATCCGAATGGCACAACGCTGACTCGTAAAGTCCGTCGGTCGTAACAAATGCCGTCTTTTTCTTTGTCAGCTGCGTGCATCGGAATTACCAGTAACCTGATCTCAGGTCGACAGATGAAAAGTAGGATGCGGAATGCTGGCAGTCTAGAGCGTCATCGATGCGCCGGCAGTGGATAGACGTCTTTCTTGGTAACAGAATTCAGTCGGCGGAAGTCAACGCAAAATCTCCACGTACCATCCTTCTTCCTCACTAGAATGACGGGAGCAGCCCACGGACTCGCCGATTCCTGTATTATTCCCTTTTCCAGCATCTCTTGAACTTGCTCGTTGATGATCTTGCGCTCCGATGATGCCACTCGGTAAGGTTTCTGCATAACGGGATGCGCCGATTCGGTGTGGATCTGATGACGTATCCGGGACGCTGGGATTAAGAGCCTTTTGGCTGTGTTAGAAAAAATCGAACACTTTCGAGTGCTTAGAAGAGAACGTCGAGCAGGGTATGACGTTCGCTTTGGTCAAGTGACTTGCTGACCATTTGTAGCAATTGGGCATCTTCTGAACCTTCTAAGCCTAGATGTTCATTTTGGCTTGTAGCATCAACAAGCGCAACCAGTGTCGTACATGACTCGGGTCTAAATACTGCAAGTTTCACGCCGCCTGGCAGAATTGCAGGCTTCATGGAACTGTTCATAGTCCACACACCTGCCCGTCCATCAACGACTGACACTATACAAAGGGGAATGAGAATGTTCTTTTTCAGGCATGCCGAGGGAATTGGTTCGAGCGTGGCGTCAAACGTGCCACAGTTGTTACTGGAACATGTCACAGGAACACACACAGCAGAAAATGGCAGGAAACGAATGTATCCATGGAGACGAAAAAGATGCATTCCTCCGGACAAGAATTTTCGAAGAGCGCCGTTGGAAAGTACCGTGTATAGAAAGATGTCCACTTCTGCAGTCTACAGTTGCCCACACTCACACAGAAGTCAATACCCAGATACGTCATGTGTAGCCCGCGGAATACCGCGAATTCGGTGCAAAACACCTTGCCACACAGCCAGACGTCCACAGTAAATATCCCAGCCGGACACAACACGTCACCACTTACACCACGAAATGTCACCCCACGGTTAAGGCAAACATCACTTTGGTCCTAGCAGGTTCTTAAATTTACACTCATCACCAAGACTGTTTCGCCTGTATCCCAAGTGCCATAGTAGGCCACTCCATCTAACTACACGAACTTTGTTTCTTCTCACTAAACGCTGACGGGGGTATATCTGTAGATAGCACTTGTGATCTTGCGGCTTCACCCCCACTGGCCGCACCGACTAGTTTTCCGGTGGCGGTGTACGTGCGCGTCGCCGTGGCGACGGTGATCGTGGAGCACGGGGAGCTGGAGGTGGCGTCCAACTTCGATCAGAGGCCGGCGAGGGGTAGCGTGACCCGGTAGGTGCGCGTGGTTTCCGTGACGTGGAGTGCGGATAGTCGAAATGTTGGGGATACAAAGGCCAAGCCTGTCGCTGATAGGGCGGTGGTCACAAAACGTGCGATATGACCCGGGACGCCACAGTTGTAGCATACCGGAATCGGTTCGAGGGCACGTGGCTGCCCAGAGTAACGACTCCTCTCGGTGGCATGGATAGTGGTGCCGCCCTTCAGGGGCACTGTAGGCAAGCGATGTTGGGTAACAGGCGGGCGAAAACTTCGTTCGTAGTTGGGGAGTTGGATGACGGGAGGAATCCAGCCTGCCGGGTGCCTTGATATTCATAAGCGTCTGCACGCGTTGATCGATGGTTGCCATGGTGGAAGAGAAAGAGGAGTCCGCACACGTTCTGTTCGTTTACGTACACATCCTGAAAATCGCTGGGGCGATGATAGGTCTGCTGAGATCGAAGCAGCTCTTCTCTGACAATCTGCCGTATGGTCAAAGCAAGCTCGTTAGGCGGCACTGTTGCCCCGCCGCGTTGGTCTAGTGGCTAAGGTACTCGGCTGCTGACCGCAGGTCGGGGTTCGAATCTCGGTGCGGCGGCTGCATTTCCGATGGAGGCGGAAATGTTGTAGGCCGTGTGCTCAGATTTGGGTGCACGTTAAAGCACCCCAGGTGGCGAACTATGGGTCGCGTGCCCCCTTCTGGCATTTGTGTACATGAAATGTCGCTACCATCGATTGCATACCAGGCGTCTGCCACCAGCTCCTTCACTTCCTCCGTTGCCGCCGCAACAAAGTGATCCTGCTACCCTTCCTCTGGTTCTCTTTTATTTCACTGTACGCCTTACCGCTAATTAGATCACTTGACGATCGATGAGTTTGCGTGCCGTTACGCATTCAGTATCAATATTTTTCTTGGCACAAGTTGACCAATAATTGTTTTCTCTAACGTCACAATCACGTGGCATTATCTGATTCATACAATCTTTAAAAGCGCTCCTTCATGACGAAATGGTTTTTATAGAATATGAAATATAAAACAACGCATTTTCGTTAGAAGCATTTTGTATTGCGTGGCAGAATCTTAAAATTGCACCAGGGGTCAAAACGTGCAATTTTACAAAGTACGCAGCTGCGCCGGTACGCGTGCAACTTTACGGACTTATTATCAGGTATTTCGGAAAATTTAAAACAAAAAATATGTCGTAGAAGGCACTTCGAAGCAGAATTTGCTGTAGGCATTCTAGGATACTTTGGAACGGTCAGTCATACACCTTCAAGTATTTCTTTTCTGGGAGTGTGGTTGAAGCGAAGCTATACAGCGTTCTCCAGCTTTTCTGCATGAACGCATGTACAGCTGTCAGCACCTTTAACTTGAACGCTCCGGCGCGTGTCCTCAGCTGGCTTAGACTGAGGTCAACGTCACCAAGCGTTGAAAATGATATGTTTGCTGCAATTAAGGATAGATGTAGCGCGCGTATGTTTCACTGAGCTTCATCGACTTACCAAGTCCCGGATCACTCGCCAGCGGCCCGCAGACGCCTCGGCTCATAGGCGGCTACGTCACATGCACGTGATCTTAAAGTCCCGAACGAGCCCGATCGGCCTCGGGCCATCTGCGCGCTTCATGCTGGCTGCATCCGCTGTGGCATCTGCTATGCCAGGCTATGCCGTCTGCTTATCCATAGCTGTGACACAGGCCACAACGCCGACCCAATTCCAACTTAAGTAGCAGTTAGGTAGTGAATAATACCTATTTCTGCTGTGGTGCAACTTACTGTAAGTGAACTACTCGAGCACGTGCGCACCATAGACCAGTCCAGTAGTTCTACTGCTGTTTCTATTAGCGAGTATAACGCATGTTTGCCCGACTTTCGAGAATACGCACATCCTCGACGTGGCTCAGAACACCGATGACAAGAACTGTGTGCGCACACAATGCGAAATCCAGAAACATGCAAGAAGCGGACAGGAAAGCAAAGAGAGAGCAAGAGCACGTCAAACATTTCTGTGTCTAACTTAAGGTGGCCGCACTGGCATGCGCCCCGTGCTGTCGGCTGCCAGCTGCCTGAAAGAAAACGTTCGGACGGTCCCGGGTCGCCCGCAGGCCGCCAGGCACGCGAAAAAGCGAACATGCGCCCGAGCGATCCCGGACCAGTGGGCGGAGATTCCAGTTCGTCTCCAAGAAAAACGAATGTGGCGCCAGCGTCCAGGGCCATACGCAGCCGTCCGGGACGTGTAAATCGATTAAGCTCACTATTACATTGCCGTTTCCAGTCTGCCTGACCAGCGGGTCGAATGCATTCACTTCGCATCCCGTTTTCGCCACGTTTCGCTCGTGTCTCTGTTATCGCGTGCACCCATGGCGTTCGTTGTCTTATATTTATCTCGACAATGAACCATTGCGTGCGACAGGTCGCACACTTTTCGTGCAGGAAAGAACGCCATGGGCACGTGATAGCGTGGCCACGAGCGATACGTGGCGAAAACGGGATGCTAAGTGAGTGCATTCGACCCGCTGGTCAGGCAGACTGGAAACAGAAATTTACTAGTGAAACAGACGCGCGCTGCATCTATCCTTAACTGCAGGAAGCATATCACTTTCAACGCTTGGTCACGTTGACTTCCAAGCGAGTCGAGGCCACGCGTCGGAGCGTTCAGATTAAAGGTGCTGACGGCTGTACAAGCGTAATAGAGTAGTTTGTGGTCCTTAAGTTTCATCCTTGACTACCTTGCTACGAAGCTCTGCAAGAGTTCCACGCACATATTTTTTGTACTCATAGAGAATGTCAAGCGGAACCTTATCTTGACGGTGGCATAGCCACAACGAATTAGGTTTACCAATTTTATACTCTCATCCTGGTCACCACAATCACAATGAAATGGCGGCAAGTTCTCCTTGTACAGTTCACTTTAGTCCGCATGAAATTAGAAGTGGGGCTCCTTAGTGTCTAGCGATCCCGACATAAATGACTTGGAGCTTGAGAGGGTAACTCTATACGTTTTAACGAAACTTGCCTCGTAGCTGTGCATAAGCTCCACGTCTTGGAAATTCTTCCTGACTTCCCGGGCCACATCTCGCTGATACAAGATGTCTTGTTTGCGGTCCGGGTATGTTTTCACGGTGATAGTGTAGCCCTGGCCGAACTTTTGTTTCAGGTGCGCCAGTGAACCCAAGCACTGCAGCCTTCCGTCTCCAAGAATGGCAATGCGGTTGCAGAGAAACTCCACATCTGCGAGGCTACAGATGACAAAGTTCAGAGCCCATTATTCATTACAGCAAAACAAGAATATTGCTTCGTAAATATACAGAAAAGTCACAGTTTCGCCACAAGGGGGAATCAGTGAATGAAATAACAGCAAATTAGACTGTCATATGAAAACAGCCTAACCACTCGCACAGTTACTAAGCATGGGTGCTACAGTAAACGAGGTGACCTTTGTGTGGTCTGTGGCTTCGATGCCCTGTGCGTCCAAGTAGGGCGTGTTACCGCCACCTTGCGGGTGGTAGCGAATAAGCCTCTGCCACGGCTTAATCCTCTTCGCAGTGTGTTGTGAAGGCAGCTCCGTACTGGCAATTGCTCCGTGTGTGCAGTTCTATTTGTGCCCTTCGTTATATACTTAGCGAGTTTTGAACAGATTGTCTTTAGTCCGCCAACACGAAATGCTTGCCTGAAGCTTCGATAGCAAGTGTGGTGTCTCGTATATGTTTTTCGCATCGTAGGTAAAAGGAATTTTTGGACTTCATTTCAGTTTACATTAAATAAGTTTGTGCACGGCCTTAAAAAGAAAAGAAGAGAAAGGGCTAGTGGCCCATTGTTAAAAACACTCGCTATATTGAACCACAGAGACCCGCAGGCAGAGCTTAGCCGCAGAAAAAAAAATATTTTTATTTATTACTAAAGCAAAAGACATATACGTCATCAAACATGAAACTTCAACAGCGTCCCGCGTTGGCAGTGTCAAGACGATTCCTACAAAATTATAACCACGCGATGACATCACACGTGATGGGTCCATTCCCCCATAGGGTTAAGTTTAGGAAACTCTATGCATTCCCACCTAAGTTCCTTGGCGAGAATAATGTCCGAGATCAACCACATTTTGTCATTATGACTTAACTAGGTCGTCGAATGGTGCCGTCATTGCATGACATCATCGTTTGGGCAAAGGTGGGTCAATCATGGAGGCAGTGTTAAACCAGGTGGGTGGCTCCCATCTTGGAGGCAGTGCATAACTGCGTTTAGTGCGCTAATCACTTGGCGGGCGGTGTGACTGGTTTAATTAATTGACTGAGAAGAAAAAGATTGCTTCTGCCTTTCTGTAGGGTCAGGTGTATACATAAAGGATGCCGTGAACTATTTCCTTTCTGTGCGCAAGCTGTGGATGCGGCAGGATTTTGCAACATCGCCAGCTGCACAAGTTAATTCTATTCACCTTAAGTTCATCGGCAAGAATACTTAAAATAATTTCGGTGACATTTTCGCCTGCGTTTTGCTGACATCATTTCTGTGAGAAAAAAAAACGACGTCGAAAACATTCGCTGAACGCTGGCGCAAAGCGTTTCCGTTTTCAAAGATGTTGACTTTCGTTGGTTAGTCTACTCGATTTCGCCATGTATGGGTTAGCTCGAGTCTCTTACCTGTGAGAAGATAGCACAATAGAAATCTTTGTGCGCCTCTGCAGGGAGCTAATGTAGTTGACAATTCGCTTCCGCGAAAGGATTCCTATTCCGGAGTAAGGCTCGTCCAGCAGGAGCATCCTCGGCATGCCGATGAGCGACACGCACAGGCACAGCTTGCGCCGGTTCCCTGCGCTGCACATGCATGTGGCAGTAACGCATGTAGGCACCTGCACACTTTCATAAGCAGGCTTAGTGCTACTCTAAAGACATATTCTTCACCAGTCGGGAAGTTTCAAGTCGATCCGCTCGGACTAAACTGTTTCTTAAGGAAACAATAAATTAATGAGGTGTTTTGGCCAAATTATTGGGCACGAAAAACAAGACATTTCAGTCTGCAGTCTGACAAACATTTCACGAGGTCGGCTGCATTTAAAAAGAAACAGCTTGGAGAACGCTTGAGCCTCACCCTCAAAAGAGCAACGCGATAGGAAAACTGGATTCCCCTGACCATTGCCTTCTCAAACGCTGTGCTAGCAGTGTGGCAGTTTGGGCTAGTTGGTATGACATAACGATAGTTATAGCGCGAGAACAGAACGACGGCAAAGAGACAAGAATGACACGAAGGACACGAGCGCTCGTGTCCTTCGTGTCTTTCTTGTCTCTTTGTCGTGGTTCTCGCGCTATAACTATCGTCGTGCTGTGCTAGCATCGGTTCTCGGCTCATGCCAGAACCATGCTGTAAGAAAATGAATGATTATGCGTGTAACGTTGGCCGTTTCAAAGTATCCTTGAAGGTATACAGCCAGTTCAGTTGTTGGGCCTCCACTACGCCATAAATTATGCCTCTTACAAACATAGAAGGGCCCACTATGCTTCCGTAAGGCGACACGTGAACCTACGCAGCTGTATATTCGCCTCGTATCCACGCACTCGGCTGTTCGCGTTTTACTTTATGCCACTAGTAGACTCATTGGTGACATACTGCGCCATATTTAGTGGCTGTAAATATTGGAATAATTCAATTTTCAGAGATTCCTGGAGCTTACACAAAGGAATTACAAATTTCCCTTGAATAATTGGCAAGCTGTATCATTCATTACAGAACAGGATGGCCCAAATTGGTTCCAACACATCATGTCTTGCTACCAGCTCCAAATAGGCACTTTGATCACAGCCCTAATTTGGCCGGCATACTGACCTACTTTTTCCCAATTGAAGGTGACGCACATTGACTTGGCTGAAATTAAGCTTCGCTTCTCCCTAATTAACAATACAGACTGGCAGAAGTGTAAATTACAATTGAATATGTATGCGCAGTAAAAATGAAGTTCAGGTAAAGGACCAGTGGCATAGAAATGAACGAGATATTTAGTGTTGTGACGGGCAGATAGGAAAAAGCGTCGCAGAAGAAATCTGCAGGAAGGAAACAGGCAGTGTCATGATTAGCTGAACAGTATGATCTTATGTTTACGCCAATTCTTTTTAACGCGGCAGCGTTAAACAGCTTGTTTCACCGAAATCCAGGTGTCTGCATCGGAGTAGGCGGCGCCTTCATTTATTGTGAGGCAAAAATTGGCATTTTACGACCGTAAGAATTGAACATACAGGCAAATAACTAATATACGATCTTCGGTCTGAATGAACATAGAAACCGGGCCTGCTGAATAGCAGGCAAATGTTCTACCATTGCAGGGCTAATGTCATTTTCGTAAGAAAACGCTATAAGAATCTAGAGAGAGGAGTCTCCTTAACGCATGTAATATATTGCATGTGAGAATTGTAGAATAACTTCAAGGTGTCTAAATATTTGACTTGCGCAGCGAGTGGGTGGTTTAAACCAGCGAACCCAGCACAAGGTGTGTAGCTCGGCAGGTGCACTCGCCACCCCATACAAACGCGTAGCGGCACTTTAATTTGGAAAAAATGAAGGATTCGGTTTAGTGGAAATTTCGCAGCGGCACTTGCAGTTGCATTTACCTTCAAACAGAATATGTTACGAGCACAAATGTTCCTTTTCTTCCGGTGCAACTGAATGCGACCAGCAATAAGCCCAATTACGCTATCGCATTCTACTCTTGTTGTTGAATCTCAAGTGACGCCTAAGTTTTTTTTCCTTTCTAAGAGCGTGAGTACTCGACCACGTGACGTAAGTATAAGACAATCGAGTGCCGTAATTTGCGAAAATTGTGCCTACCTATACGTGCCGACTAGATGATCTCCGATGTCATTCAGATTGAAAATCTCTAGCAACGCCTCCACGTATTCTCTGGTGATCGGAATCCCACGCAACCGGATGTACAGCATCAATGTCTCGATGCCCGTCAGAGCATCCAGCAGGGCGTTGCTTTGCGGGCAGTAGCCGAGGTGGCTCTGAAACTGTTGGGACGAGAAATGCATGAGTGACTTTGACGCACATACCCACATTTTTGAACGTACATCTGCATAGCGCTGTTCAACGATAGCTGCGAAGCAAACGGATGAAGTTATGTGCCCAGAATAATAAACTACTGCAAGTGTGCTGTGCCTTAGTGCAAAGAAAACAAAAAAAACGCATCAACTGGCGTAGGCTATTCTCAAGTAATACTTTTACTAGAATAAAGGTGCATATGAACAACTTGATAAAAGTGAAGGAAGGAAGTTTGGATGGCTTGTTTTTGTTAACACGAAAATATGTAATCTTTAGGTCCCTCCACTGGCGTGTTTCTGTCATGAATGTGATGTTATAAAAATAATGTACTCACACATTTTAAAGAAGAAGTGACAGCATATCCATGGGGTGAATGATGGAGAGTGGGGCGAAGCTGGATCTGCACGCCACTGCCGCGTCCCTTCGACCTCCCTTTGTCGTACGCTGCGATCTTGTCGGCACTACCTCACAGCTTCACGGCACGCTTCTGCTTCACGCGCTCGCACATTGGGGTTCTGTCTTCGAGCGCGAGCCGCCGCCGCCTTGTGCGCACGCCGCTCTACAACCTTGCCCATCCGCCGACCTTGTCAACACGCACGTGTGCCAAAATGGCTTTTGCTTTGCTACACCACGCCCCCTAGCGTACGGCACCGCCGACAAACACGCGATCACTGGCATCTTCGTGTAGAGTCATTCCTATTTTTTCGCACGCTCGCACATCGGGGTTCCGTCTTCGAGCGCAACCAACCGCGCCTTGCGCGCATGATACTTTTTATCGGCAAACCATGAATCATCCACTGGCCGCGTCCATCCGTCGTCTGGCTGTCCGTGTTTCTGACGCATAGAAGGAAGAATGAACGGACGCATGTACGAATCCATGAACGGACGGACGCATGGATGTACGCGCGAGAGGATGGACGGACGCATGAACAGACGGATGGACGCATGGACGAACACAAAGCTTGAGGCTTGGACGAATGGATGGACGGACGCACAGATGAACGCTCGGATGAACGCACGAGAGGATGAACGGTCCCACGGACGGACGGAAGTGCGAAATGGATATGCTGCGATTTTTCTTATTTATCATATTACAAGTAACGTCCTTTAGTATCGTACCATTTTCATTTTTCAGCGCATATGCATTTCGTTCAATGTACAACTACCGCCCACTACGGCCGATTCAAGAACTAACGAGAGGTGGCTACATACGATTACGATGGGACGCTTACCCCACGCTTTAAGAAGCTTCTCTCCTAAAATAAAACCGAGAGCACAAGGCACTGTTGCGGAGCATCAAACCAGCGACCTTACGATTTGCAGCGTACGACGCTAACCACTCGGCCAAAGAACGTACGTTGTCAAGCTTGCTAATGGGAAGCCCTTTAGGAGACCTCGGAGCTCTAACTTCGGCGAGTTTTTGTCGTCAGTAGCGCGACGTGCTCGCGTTGGGCACGCTAAGCCAACACCACCTAGACTATTCACAAGGCCCGTTCATACCCCTCTCTCCAGATGGCATACGTCCCGCTAGTTGTTCGATGTTATGACCGGCACAGCAAGGAGGTAGCTTGCAAGGGACGCTCATCGGTGTAACGGTCAAACGCTGTCCGCGTCCTGCGGGAACGCGGGAGGCGTCTGTGTGCGCCGCAGGAAATGCACATCAGCGTCACTGGGACACACAGTCGGCGTCTAGCGCGTGCATGGACGGCTATAAAAGGAGCGTGTCGGGGGTGCACTTTGCTCTCTCTCTGGACTTCGCTGGCCCGCTCGTCTCGAGTGTGCTCTGGGCCCTTGTGATGGAAAGGCGCGTCTGTACGCTCTCGTTGCAATGTACTTCTCTTGCAAATATGTAAATTAAACGCATCTTTTACTTGTTCGTGAGACGCGTCGCAAGAGTCGTCATTCGCCGGATCCTGGGTGGCAGCCTCAACCCCTCCCCGGACATATCACCGACTGTCCAATGGCCGAGGACGCGTCGCTCAGGTGGTGGTGTTGGTCACCCCACGCACTTTTTTACCCCGAACGGCGGACAAGCCACGACAGGTTTGCCTTTCATCGCTACCTGCTTCGCTGGTTAGACTGCGTTAGGCTTGGTGCTGCATCGCACTGCTCTGAGTCTTCGTCCGTTTCCACGTGTCCTATTTTATTGGTGTTGTATTTGTGAGTATGTGATTACACATCGATCAGTGCGACATGGGACGTTGTTGTGTTCCCGGGTGCCGCAGTAATTATGACAGTGGTCCCAAAGTGCGTGTTTTCGCATTCCCAAAGGATGAAGCTCGGAAGAAGTCTTGGATAAAAGCCATTCCGCGAAAGTATTTCACACCAAGCATACACTCCAAGGTGAGAAACTGATGAAGTTTGTTGTCTTACCGGCTCTATCGCATTACTGGCGTTCTGGCTCTGTTACTGTTGAATGGAGCGAGTATCGTGAGTGGTGATGGTAGTTTTGTCGCACTTCAGGTAGGGCAGTGCGGAAAAATAGAACAGAAACACTCAGGCTCGTGTCAAAGTTCCCATTAGCCCGTTTCGTATGAAAGTAATGAAATCACTGTTATGCTTGGCGCAGGTCTGTGAACTCCACTTCCTCGAGGCTGACTTCCTCACAAAGCTGTCACATTTCGACGCAGCGTCGGGACGGACATTGACAGTCGATAGCGAGAGGGTGCGCCTAGTGTCAGATGCTATACCATCGGTGTTTCCGAACTGTCCGTCCTACCTGAGCACGAATCGCAATCGTCCAGAATATCCTGTCTCGAAACGAGCTCGAATGGAAGACGAGGCCTTGAGCAAAGCGATTAAGGACTCTATATGCGCAAAAAAAGCGAAGAGGAGAGAAATGCTGTGTCCTCTTTCGAACACTTAAGAGGCAAGCTTTCTGCTGTATGCAGTAATGATTTCTGGACCATCAAGGCCAACGATCGTTGTGTGATGTTTCTCCGCATCGAAGATAATCCTTCACCGACGTGAGTTTTTCCGTCACTGTGCTTGCTGATCTCTCACTTGCAGTCTCAGCAGGTATGATCAAGCTGATTTCATTACCTTGCGGAGGCGCAGTTCCAGACGCAGTGCGCGACATCCGGACGTTGTCCTCACTGCTCCAGCAGCTGGAAAACCACATGACTGAGACGCCTGAAGTTGCAAGTCCGTCGAAAACAGCGTCAGTGTTGCAGAATATCGGCTCCTTATTAAATGAACTGTCCCAAGACAGTGACGCGACCGAAGAACACAGTGCTTTGTTTCGTTTGCTACATGAGCAAATAGCTCTCGCAATCGCTGCCCCCATTCGTCGCTACAGTGCTGAAACATTATTGTTTTCTAGCATCCTGCACTCCATATCTCCGCACGCCTATAACTTTGCCAAATCAGCGTCGACGTTGACTTTACCCTATCCTTCAACCCTGCGCCGTGTTTGTTCCAAGTATGGAGGCGATCCACTGAAGGAGCAAAACGAAGCGAACTTCCTCTCCTACATTCGAGAAAGAGTGATGTGCATGCAGCCGCACGAAAAGACGGTGACGCTAATGGTTGATGAAATTCATATCAAGCCATACTTCGATTATATAGGCGGCAGCATAGTTGGATCTGCAGCCAATTCTCAAGAGGCAACCACAACCGCTCATGTTTTCATGCTTCAGTCGCTCTTGTCATCAAACAAAGATGTGCTTCACATTCTTCCTGTTGCTAAAATGACCGCCAAAATCCTACATGAGTTCTGCAAGAAAAGAAAGTAATTTTAGAAGTGGAATCTATGGGCCTCAGGGTCATTGCTGTAATTACCGAGAACAATTCCCTCAACCAGAATATGATGTCGTTTTTCTCAGAGAAACAGGAAGTAAACATTGTATATCCTCATCCAGCGGACAACAATCGGCCTCTGTTTTATGTCGTAGACCTTGTGCACATACTGAAATGCATCAAGAACAACTGGATGAATAAAAAACGAAGGAATATGCTTTTACTTTCCTGAAGTGAGGCTGTCAGGAATATTGCCCGACGGGCGGCCCAGAATGAAAGCAGCATCATTTGAAGCCATACGGCAGCTGTATGCACTGGAGCAGACATTGCTTCTCAAGCTTGGCTACAAGCTAAATTCCAAGGCAATCAATCCAACACCTATGGAGAGACAAAATGTAAAGTTGGTGTTAAATGTCAATAATCCCTTTGTATCAAACGCACTTGAAACGCGTGGCGATGCCCTTGAAACCACATGTGCCAGTTCAACAGCTCTCTTCATAAACATCATATCGACGTGGTGGAAAATCGTCAACGTGAAGACCCCTTCGAAAGGTCGCCGACTGAACGACACCCTTCAAAATCCAGTGAATTCTACGGTGGATCAACTGCTGGTTTTGCTTAGTGGCATGGTAGACTGGCTGGATGCTTGGAGCAGCGTCAACATGAGCCATGGCTGCTTGACAAGGGAAACACATTCTGCGTTGAGACTCACTTGCTACTTCCTTGTTGAGCTATCGCGGTACTGTTTAGAAGAACTGAAGTTCAAGTATGTTTTGCTGGGAAAATTTCAAACTGACACTCTTGAAGATCGCTTCGGTCGCTACCATCAGCTTGCTGGTGCACAATATCATGTTTCGGTGAGGCAGCTTCTGGAGTCCGAAAAGAAAATTCGTCTGCAAAAGCTGCTAATGCTTCCGCAGCCAGACATCAGCAGCGAAAGTGACAAAGAAGTATCGCAACATAACTTCTCTGTTCACATTTCAAATGATGAAATTTCCAACCCAAAGCATGACATGGAGGTCGTTGCTTATATTGCTGAATATTGTGCTCATTCAGCTCTGAAGAAGCTGTCATGCGCATTTTGCAGCAGCGTGCTCGTCCTGGAGAGCAGGAACATAGATGTGGAAGGTAACACATTGATTGACAACTTGTCAAGACGAAGCTTAAAGTTTCCGCAGCCATGTACTGTGCACACATGGTGCTGGTGACAACGCTTGTTGTCGAAAAGCTCACCAAGGGAGAAAATGCAAAGGCGTTCCTCGCGTCGAACAACCAACGTGGCATTGTAAGCTCCAATACCACATCACTGCTAGGAGATGTTGAGCTAGAGACTTGTGAAAATGGCCATACCTCTGAGACTATTGTGCGGCATGTAGTGCGTGTTGCAACAAATGTCGCTCTGAACAACATTTGTAGACTTCGAAATGACACTATCCAAAGCACCACACAAAAACAGGCAGCTGACAGAAAAATCAAAACCTTGAACAAGAAATGAGGAGGACGGTTTTAGCCTTTCGTCCTAATAAAACCACTTCTACAAATGCATTTCTGACTATTACAGTTTGATCACTAAAGTGTAAAGGCAGGCGTAAACAAAGGCAGACCGCGCAGGAACAAAAAAAGAACAAAAAAAGAAACACCGGTTTTCAATAAGTGCCCACAGCAGATATAACGAGAACGAGTGGCGACGACGGCCAGGTGCAGGTGGGCAACTATCGTGACGTCACGCTCTCCCTGGAGGGGCCTTGTCAATAGTCCAGGTGGTGTTGGCTAAGCTTGTCACCTCTTGCATTTCGTTGAGCGCCGCCTTCACAGAGCGTGGTCTGTCCAGCACTCGTGATTCGGGAGGACACAAAGGTCACTTTTTTTTGCTGCCGTGGCCGCATTTACGAAAAGAGCACGCTGCTCCAACACGAAGAATCACGAATTGAGGCAGTTATTCGCGCTTGTTCTGTGTAAAATTGTGTGTTCGTTTCGTGCGTCTTTCTTTCTGTTTGAACAACGTGCTTCAAGTGTCGATCTGCGAAAGCTGGTTGTGCGCGTTCGCCCTGTGCATGCTCATTTCATGAGTGCTTTTTGTGGAGGAGAGCGCTGCGAATTTCAAGCTCCTTGCCATTCTCCGTGGGACTTCGCGATTCGTTGCTGTAGCATTCATTCATTCACCACTTAGCGAAATAATGCACAATAAACGCTTAACAACCTCTGTGATGACATGTCTCACTTTTGTGTTATACCGATTCCTAGGAATAGGTATCAGCTATGTTTTTTTGACGAAACCCTGATGAAAACCACCAAATAATGAAATAAATGATTTTACAGGGGTGTTAACGGTACTGTGTGAGGTGAATTTTATAGGTTGTGACAAAGATGTGGAAAAACATGTGGGAGAAGAGACAACTCTCCACCGGCTGGGTGGCAAGTTGTCACTTGGCCATTAGTGCTCTGTCCTCTTGTGTCGGTCAGCTCAGGCCTTTTTTTGTATTCCGTAATGTGCTACAGCTGTTCAAGTGCAAAGAACCGACTTGCTTGTGGACTGAGCTGGAACCTATGGACTACGCACCCGATGCTCTTATTCATTGTGCTACAGTGGCAGTCGTCCCCTGGTCCACTTAGTGTGTTCGGGGGAAGAGGGGTATAAATTTGCATGCACACCCTGGGAGTGTTGCCGCTTGCAGCCATGACGGTGAAATCGGGGCCCTAGTTTGCCAGCGTGAGTCACTTAGAAAGTGAACATTTTATTGAATGGGCAGCCGACCTATCAATAAGCCTTAGCATTCTGCATCATATCTGCTGAAACGCGACCCGCGCTATTACCCTCCTTGGCATCTTTATCTCCTATAGTTTCATTTTTATAAATGTTGTACCAAACGAAGGAACGAACTGAAGGCAAGCAGATTGGGCGAGTCAATGAGGTTTCATAATAAAAATTTCAAACCGTACCTCAACACAGGAGACAGGAAAGAAGAGACACACACGGCGCAGAAATTGCAACTCCAAGTTCACGTTGCATGTTCAGCGCCGTGTATCTTCTTTTCTGTCGCCTGGGTTAAATAGCTGTTTTATATTTTTATCACGGAATAAACTAACCATCCAAGTTATGCTCATTTATTCATCGCAAGAATCCCACTTCGGCAGAATTTAGGCCTTTATGTAGAATGGTAAACTTTAATGAAAGCTCGGCTGCCCATTCGTAAAAATTATCACGGGATTTGATCCTCCAACCTACTATAGTCAGCACTCGAGCACCGTGCAGGGTTTACACACTGGATAGATGCGCACATTCTGTGCAAATTAATTATATTCAACGCCCTGATTCTGCCACCTTGCTTCTCACAATGCTTGGCAACATTGTGTGTGTCAATTCATTCAGAACCAAGCGACGGAAGTGATGGAACCGACGTACCACTAAAGCGTCCACATTCTGCAAGGCAACAAGCACACGTGTTTGGTCAGCGCTTAGTTGGTTGGCCGTGCTAATTTCCGCGCAATCGCAGTGTGCTTGCGATTAGCGCCAAGTGTCGCACTGTGGGCGACGCATGAATACCTTTGGCAGTCAGCAGTCGCAAAGCACTCGCACGAAACGATTACCGCGGCTTGTACTGGCATGCTTTATGTTTCATTTACCCTACCAATGCAGAGTTAAATGCCATTATCTGCAAGCTTAGGCATTCTTCCCATAGCGATCATAAACAGCTTTTTCCCATCCCCAAAGTTTTAGATCTGGCTTTTACCGCTGCGGCTACACAATTGGGCCTTTAGGATTGCCTGGGCAGCAATGTCATCTAGCGACGGATAATACAACCAGAAGAGCCCATAACTGAGCAGGTATACTTTATCGAAGAGGAATGGCGATTCCAGTTGGTCACTAAATGTGTCCGAATCTCAGTTGACCTTGTCCGACGTCTAATTATTACGTCTTATTCAATAAGGTTGAGAGCTGCGCTAGTTGGTAACTGATCATTATACCATATGGTTTAGAAGCCCACTTCTTTATGGGACAAAATGGACAAGAAAGACACCACACTTGTGGCGAATGTCGTGTCTTTTCTCTTTTGTCTCTGTAAAAATGACAGCATATCCACAGAGTGAATGATAGAGAGTGGGGCGAAGTATCCGTCCGTACATTCGTTCTTGCTTCCGTCCGTCCATGCGTGCGTTTGTGTTGCCGCCCGTGCGTCCATCCGCCCGTCCGTGCGCGCGTCTGTTCGTGCATCCGAACGTCCATCTGTGCGTCCGTACATGCGTTCGTTCATGCATCCGCTCCTGCGTCCGTCCATGCGTCCATCCGTCCGTGCAGCCATCCGTGCGTCCGTCCATGAACCTATCTATGTGTCCGTTCGTCCACCTATTGAACACTCCTAGTACCACCATCTCGCATATTTTCGTCATATATTCCTCATATAGAAGCACTGCCTTCCAGCGGACATTCGAAGGACTGAACGAGAGGAGGCACACACACACTTTCTTACGGCTTGCGCTTCGTGTCTACTTCCCACCTTTAACCACCTCGAGTTCGAGGTATATACTAGCTCACTGTATTCTTGGCACTGCGGCCCAACGCTCGCTAAACCTTTCTAAAACCAAGCAGGTTACGCCCAGCGAGTATAACGTATCAACTTCTTCTTGTCAGATAGTGCTCAATGTACATGCCAATGGCTGCTAAGGGGGAATGAAAGACCGGAGAATTCGGCTTTCAGTTAACGCGCACGCTGCGAATTTTTCATTGTTCAACAACGCACAGAAGAAATCTCCCACCGGCACCACCTTGGAGGTCAAAATGTAAGACTGGTTACACACTACTACTACGACTACGAGGGACGAACGGGCGCCGATATAAGGACCTTTGCCCCTAAAAACGCGCTACTTAACCATACGGTATAGTGGTACGTGTGTTACGGCGTGGTCACCTTTCCGTTGAGCGTTTGCTCTACGCCGCTTTCAAAGATTTCATACTCCGCGCTGCGGCATGTTGCGATAGTTCCACTTTTTACCCTATTTTACGACACAAGAAGAAAGTACTGCTTGGTTAAGTTTCCTTTTGGTGGGGTGTTTTCATGCTTACTTGAACCTATTGTTAAACTTACCGAGTATTTCTACTATCAGGCCTGTGACAGGAGCGTCTCAGGAACGAAGAATCACTGCGACTACGACTTTGTCAAAAATTGCCGGAGTTCACCTTTGACGCGACTATACGCGACATTGTGCAGCTATGTGCAGCCAGATGCCCAGCGTCATCAACCTACCTCGTACACATTACGCACGACGGACACGCCACCAATGTATGCATCACCCTCCTGCGGCAGGATTTCGCCCGTCAGTATCTTGAAGGTGGTGGTCTTTCCAGCACCATTGACTCCGAGAAGGCCGAAGCACTCGCCCGAGCGCACGCTGAAGCTCAGGCCCTGCATCAGCGCAGACAACGTTTGAAATCGGTTTCATGCAGCAGTCCTCGTGAACATTGAATGCATATCCATACTATTTGTTCCCTTGTTCAATGCGTAGCACCCTGACCTTGCAATTGCGGCGAGTAAGTGTGTCCTAATGAAAAAAATTTTATAACCTCGCGTGCACGTTGCCTGACACAAGTCACGTGCAATGGCAAAACAGTGTTCACGAACTTCTTGCTTAATAAACACTTATAAAAATTTTATTCAACCTGCAGTTCTAATTGCAACGTTGCAAGTTTCAATGGCGATGCAGCAAGATAAGCCCCAAAGATAAACTCGTTGACTCATAAGTTTAGCTCTGAGTTGGTTCAAGTCGTAAGACAATTACGAAAACTCCTTGACCAAAACGTGACAATTTCTGCTTCTTTTTGTATGTTCTACAGTCTTTCGCACACAATTTTTTGGGCGGTACTTAGCAATTACAATAGCTTTTGTGTGAGCGGCGTTGAAACCGAACGTTGTTGCATCCGATACATTAATTGTGTTAACAGCTGAGCGCTCAGTGCAAGCTGAAGTTCGTGGCACCAAGTTTCAATTAAAGAACGATGTTCACCTGTAGCACAATGTGGCCTTCAAGGTAACCGTAAGCCTTGTGGAGGCGGTACACCACCATGGCCGGCTGCGTGCTGTCTGGAACCTGGGACGGCATCTTTGGTTGCTGCTTAGCCTGCAACTGGGTCTGTGATTTGGAAGGCTGGTTTGTCAACGCCTGTGGAATTGGCGAAGGTGTCACCGGATTCTGGACAAGATTCGCTACAAGTTTGTCTTCATCCACAACATCCGTGTCCTCGTGGTGCTTGACGGCCGGCTGCAAGTACGATTGAAATCGTAAAGAAAGAAAGAAAAAAGCCAAATTATCTGAAGAAAAAACAACCTTCAGCTGCATTCGAGTTCAAGTGAAAAACATTTAGCTGCCTAAAATAAAGATGTATTGTGTGCAAATGGATCTCAAAAATCAAAATTTTAAATAAATTTGTCATTGGGTTGCCATGGTTAGCAGTTCGTGCGATGACGTTACTGTTCGGTCGCTATCACCTTTGTTTCTGCAAAATAATTGTTTCTTACAAGAATAGTGTGTACACTGTAAGCTTGTTCTTAGTGTAACGATTGATTTCTAGCGTAATCAACATCCTATGCCTATTATTGCTATAGCTGCATTGTTTTTCACAGCTTTTGCCACCACTAAAGTCGTTTATTCTTAATTACGTAAGTGTGCACCCTGCCGTGCGCATACGATGCCCACAGGAGAGCTTATAAATATCAGCAAATGGACATTCTTACGTTGTGTGAGATGCGAAAAGGCTTAATTAAACCTAAAGTAACGACTGATTTGCCGGTTCAAGCTTTTGCTCGTGTTATTGGTGTATTCATTACTGGTTCCCGGCATAACGTTTCTAGACCCACAAGTATAGCTTATATAGAACCTGAAATCCCGTAAGCAATGAAATGCTAATTCTGTACTACAAGGAAGCACCTCGGGTCCTTTACATGCGGGCAGTTTCTGCACAAGTGAGATGTGTCAAAGTTTCAAATTTAACGCCGCATGCGTGCTGACAAGCTCAGCTCGGAATAGCAGAGATCTATAATATGAGAGTACAACTTGCGTTAAGCGTATATGAATCATTCGGAAAGGCTTGCATCTTAAATCTTTCTCTTTGCAGAACATAACACAAAATGGCCTGTATTACTGCTATATGCGTGCTTACAGGTCAGATTGTAGTAGTACTTTAGTAAGCTCCCCAGGTTTTTCAATATTACTGGGTCATAATAAATACTGCCGACGATAGAAGTGGGGTAGCTCAGCACTGCCAAGATGGGTTCTTGCGTGTAGATGAGTTCCTGCAGCGTGATATACATTCTATATCCCTGTCGACAGAAATCGCTGCAGATTCAACGCACCCAGCCGGCACTCACTTGCAGCCAACCTCCTAACCATCAGCTCTTTTCTAGCAACGCTGCGATTCGCATGATAAGAAGTGCCTTCTTGGACCAATTCCACATACTTTCTTGCTCCAGGGCATCGGGCCCTTGATGTCGACATTTTTTTACCGAGGTTCTTTCAGGTGCTTACCTTAGCACGGTTGTAACCGGAAGTGAAGCATAGACCAAAAGGGCAGACACGAAGTGATAGACGCGAAGCACGCACACGAAGCGGAATTGACTACTGAACCAAATGACCGAAAATGGACATCTTCTGTTGACAACAGAAGTTGTTTAAAAGTGGCGTAGTGGAAGTTTGGTGTCATGAACCAACCACCTGGTTGGCATCGGTAGGCCAGCGGCCGTATGACCAAGATTTGGAATGCGACTCCCATGCGATAATTACGACCAGCGTGCTTCACCTCTGCTTAGCCCGAGTTTGTTACTAGCGTTGGCGAGCTTCAACTCCTGAAAACGGAGACCGCGCCATCTCCATGAAGTGAATAATGGCCAGTCAGTGAAGCTCTTGGTATCGTATCTGTAAGTAACCATGCGTTACCCGAGCATCGACCCATGTAATGTAAGTCGAGCTACATCAGTGAATTTATATATATATATATATATATATATATATATATATATATATATATATATATATATATATATATATATATATATATATATATATATATATATATATATATATATATATATATATATATATATATATATATATATATATATATATATATATATGTGTGTGTGTGTGTGTGTAAATATATTTCACCTTCCGGTTGTATTAGGCAATTCAAGAAGGATTTATTTAATTGCTAGAACGTAGACTATGCCACAAAAGCTAATACCAGAACGCGCCATCTTACTGTTGCCGAGATGTGTGTATAGTGGAAGTGCTTAATTATTCAGAGTGTTGTACTCTTCTATGGGAGAGCAAAGGCCATCCCACTGCTGCTGGCAGAGGTCCGCAAAACATATGTGTTTAGAAAACGTGGTTAACGATTTAGACTGCTCAGTACTCTGCACCATTTTAATATCACAAATTATATACGGAATAATTGAAAATATAAGAAATTAATGAGGGATGTATAGTTCTCGACGTGTGCCTTTGTGTGCTAGGTTTCTTTGAAAAGCCTCGCCATTTACGCACATTTTACAAGAGATAAACTCTTCTGGATAGACTATTTTCACCAGTGTCAGCGATCTTCTACCTTACTGTTCATTGTAAAAACTTTTTTAGTCTCACATATGTTTCATTTATAGCAGCGATTGCATGCCAAGACCACAACACAAGAAGAGGCCAGGTCTAAGGAGCTTCATCCCTAAAGTATGCAGGCGTCCCTAATCATGGGCTCTGCTGACCGGCAGTGAAACTTCCCGTGGCGTTCAAGGGCCTTGTCGTATTTTCGTGGTCGACTTAGAGTTTGATCGTGGTGCGGAAGCGGATCTCGGAACTCACGTCGAAAAAAATATCACGATTAAGATATGCCTCGTCCGGTGTTTCGAAAATCCCAGCTGCTCATAACAAAAAACCGTCAGTTTTATTAATAAAGTCCTTAAATACATTGACATCATTTAAGGGCGACTGGTACTTGGCCAACATATTAGGCAAACTTATACTGTGATACAACGTGTATCATAGTTGCTCCTCACTTCAGCCAGCATCATAACCTTCGTTCCAGTTTTGTGTTCTACGAGACTTCTGATTATTCTCAAAACCACAAGAACACGCCAAACCAGAAGTGCTTGGAGGAGGAACACGAACTTTGCTCGGTACTCATACCACTAATGAACAGTTTTAAGAAATTCCAGCGTAACGCACCCGACAGAAAGCCATCCATATGTACCTTGGAAAGCGATAATCCTTTGATGACCCCTTGCTCTGCAGGCGGGACTAGGAGGCGCAGATTGTTTTCGGCCCCGGGCTCAGTCAAGTGTCGGTCGAGTTGGCGCAGCAAGTAGTAGTCGGCGTACACTAGCAGACCGAAAAGCAGTGGCCCTTCCAGAAACAGGGTGAGCACCTCGTAAAAAGCAGAGTACGAGTGCACGTCCAGAGGGCTGATTGCGTAAAGATAAGGGTCAGGTTCAGCGATGTCTGCACGCATAGAAAAAGAGAAGAAATTCAGTAAGTTAAGAGATTCGTTTAGCTATTTTTAGCCAGCACCTCATCGAAAGAAATAGAGGCGCGGCCTTAGCTTATTTTTCTCACGGTGGCTCATGGACAAAAGCAAAGCGTGTTCAGAAAAAAAAATTATGTATCAAAAGAGCACTTGATACTTTACCATGAGAGAGCATAAAGCCGTCCCTGGTGTAATGAACTTGTATCTATCCAAAGCGTGTTTAGAAGTGGTGTTTAACAATTTAGAGTACTCAGTACTCAACTATGGGAGCGCATAAATCCATCCGCTAACATCCGTTCATTCAAGATTTATATGGTGGCATCGTCGTACTAGGAAGCAGCTGGTGCCAGCAGCCCTACATAAGTGCCCCTCAGAGGTGCGCCGGTCGTATGTGAATTTGCATGTATTATTTTTAATTATCTCATGCTCTCTCAATTCTGGGCTTATCAATTATTAGCGTTTTTATATGCAGTTTGTTCAAACGCATAACTGGTTTGAACGCATATCAACCAATCGGGGCAAAAGACTCACATTCGGGGCCAGCACCGGAACGTGAGTCTTGTGTCACGATAAGGTGCAGTTGCCGTCGTGTTTAATGTGATTTAAAAAAAATCACAGTATATCCACGAAGAGAATATCGATGAGTGGGGTGAAGCGTCTATCAGTCCGTGCGCGCTTCTGTGCATCTGTTTGTTCTCGCTTACGTCCGTCTGTGCATCTGTCCATCCATCTGTGGGTCCATCCATCCGTCCAAGCATCTGTCGGTTCGTCTGCGCGTCCGTGCTTGCATCTGTGTGTTCATCTGTGCGTCCATCGGTCCATACGTCCCTCCATCCATGCGTCCCTTTGAGTGTCCATCCATCCGTTTGTACTCCGTGCGTCCGTCCATGCTTCCATGCGTTCGTCTGTGCGTCTATCCATCCATCCACCCATGCGTCCATCTGTGCGACCGTTTGTACGTTCATCAGTCCATACGTGGACCCGTACCTGCGTTCATCCATGCGTCCATCCTTGCGTAAAGCATACATACATACATACATACATACATACATACATACATACATACATACATACATACAACATACGTACGTACATACATACATACATACATGCATACATGCATACATGCATACATACATACATACATACATACATACATACATACATACATACATACATACATACATACATACATACATACATACATACATACATACATACATACATACATACATACATACATACAGAGAGACAGACAGACAGACAGGCAGACAGACAGACAGATAATTGACCGACGCGGCCAGCAGAGAATTCATGGTTTCCTGATAAAAACCTCCGAAGCTTCGCCCCACTCATCGTCATTCACTCCGTGGGTATGCTGTGAGTTGGTTACTACATACATGCATGCATACTGGTGACGACCGACCTACGCCTTAAGAAGCTTCACCCCTAAAAAGCCAGGAAGCAATAAAAAATCACAGCACGCGCACCACATACAAACGGTTTACAAGCGAAATCTGAAACGTGTGGCCCCTGTGTTTAGCAATGGGTTCAACCCGACGTGACATTCAAGAGTCTCACAATTATAGGTTATATATTTTTGCTGCTTAATGAGATTCGACACGCGTTTCGCTCGGGTTCATCACAGTGTCTATCTCACATGCGGCATACTGTGTCTCGCACGATTACGGTCATGGTAGAATATAATAAGCTGGTAAATGCGTTACGCTATGCGTTAACAACAGTGTACGTTCTTGAACTACAGGCGGTCACAGACGTCGCAGCCGAAGCCAATGTGCCGCAGGAGAAACTCCCGCCGAAAGCGGCGTTTGCAGCAGTGAACGTGTTCCTGCTATCATCACAATGACGCCGAAACATCACGTTGTTGCAAGCATCTGACATCGCGAACCAAGTCGACCGGGTGTTTCAGGAGAAACGGTTGGATGTTGGCTTGGCACCACGGCTGCAACGATGTCACTCGGAACCCAGCCAATGGCGCACGTGATTGCAAACGGCGTAACTGATAATACAGCCAATGGAGGACGCTTGTGACCCCACTTCCAGATGACTTCTCAATTCTCCTAGCCATATATACAGCTTTCGCTTCAAAAAAGTTGTATTTGAGGCACGCACTTGACAGGCTTAGCTTCCAAAATTTTTCCGCTAGTAAAAGAGCTCTTGAAATTTTTGTTTTCTTTACAATAACTTTTATGCACAGTGTACGTTCCAAAATGCGCAAACAAAAGGCAAGACCTTTAATTCATTTATGCGTGACGTGCGAAATCTCTTACGCTTGCAGCACTGCAGCAGTGACATCTTGAATGCGACAAACTTTTCTTGGCAGGCATTCTCGAGGTCCTCTCCACCGCGTTGGCACACCGCGTTCTCGGTGGCCAACTGCAGCACTTTCGTCATGCCACGCGAGTACGAGTAGGAAGGCAGAAGCCGCGCCATTTGGAGTATCGTCTCGATGAAGACCACGAGTGGGACGTTGTTCAGCGTTTCCGCGTAGTGTTCCATGAACACGGCACCCGTGCAGCAAAGTGACGCTGGACATGAACGATAGACAGATATGAGCATTCTTGATTAACCGGTTCGACGTGAACAATTTGTTTGCACACAATATGTGTGTAATTACGAGTGTGACGAAATTTACCCTGTCAGCGAACACCATGATTAAAAAGCTGTGGTTATTTACAAAGTCAGTGTGCCAAACAACAACAAGAGACAACAGAAATATAAAAAAGCTTGAAAAGTAAGTCTGGAATCCACACGTTTTCCGCGATCACGCACTGTATGCACATTTGCTGACGTCCGATCATACGCGAACAATTATGTGCCGGCTTAACCCTGTCATAGAGGCACTTTTGTTTGGTGGTGAGGCGAGATCGGCAGTATTCACTGTTACGGCGACGACACATATTCAACTGATACCCAAACAGCACATCACTTTAACTCAGGCTGACGAAGCCGACAGAGACGCACGCCAGCTGCATTAAATCACTGCGTCTGTTTTGTGCCGGTAACGTTAGCGAGCACTCCTCGGAAATACGAAGCCTTTTGGCACCAAAAGATCGCTTCGCGTCTTCGCAGGCGACCAAAGAAATACTTTTCAGAAGCGGAGAATTCTGTTTTCTGAAACCACGCAGACAAATAAATCACCTCGGTCACGTCGCAGTCGTGTCTGTGGCATAGACCACATCTCAATACCAACGCCCATTCACCATCGTCTTCCACTGGTCGTATTGTTAGTGCGTATTTTAGAATAACAAGGCCTAACAGCTGATAAGAACGTCTCCTAAATTGCGGCCATTGGTAATCATGAGATAAAGTCGAACCAAACACTTTCTTTTCAGTCGGCTAGCTTAACCGGATTTCCTGGCAAAATATGGCCTCTGTTTGGTGGATTCATAAATTCTTGTCTATATATAGAGAAGCCCAAATGAAAGAGAACTGGTTTGACGTTATTATAGTGTGGGCATTGGGCACACCATGTTCTTCTAAAAGTATAGTCAAGCTCGCATCTTCAATCATATGCAAGTTTTTCTAGCATGAAGAGAATAATCAGAAGCAGCCTAAAAGTTCTCGTGAACCCATGGTACACTTCAAATCAAAAGAGTGTTCATGGATTAGTTGAAACTTAACAGTACCTGATTTGTGAGATACAAAATAAACTGAGGTCAACTTTGCCCCATACATTGCGGTTGTGCAAAGCGAATTGCCTACTCACATATTATAAACGTAGAGATGGCAAGAGCAGAGAATCCGAAGCCAGGGTTGTCGAAACAGAAGGAACATATGTAGATGAACGGTAGCGCAGCGTAGCCGTGCAGTATATTCAATATAAAGATGAGTTCTGCAAGCCGAGGAAAGAGAAATTAAGGGAACACCACTGATTAGTACTTGTTGGAGGATGCGCCGCGATACCCCGGGAAGTTATTTAAACCGAGAGCCGAGAGCAATTTGGTATGTGTGCTTACAGTAAAGGCCGCAGAGGGTGAAAGCCCTGCAGCCTCTTCAGGCGCGAATTATCAACTGTACGATAAGGAATCAAATTCACTGGATTCTACAGCGCTGGATATTAGAACCGAAGAAAAAAAATAAATATGTCTTTGTGTGTGTTTCAGCAATTATTTCTCATTGGCCTAAAATAAATATTTATTTTCTCTACAGCCAGTCATATTCTATTATTACATGAATAGACACATACCTTAGGTTTTGAAAGCGTGCGTAAATTTTTGTGGCTGTGTTCATTTGGAGCTTAACTTTTGACTGTGGTCTTGGAACGTGTCACGGCGAAATAGCTGATTTGATTGATATGTGGGGTTTAACGTCCCAAAACCACCATATAATAATGAGAGATGCCGTAGTAGAGGGCTCCGGAAATTTCGACCACGTGGGGTTCTTTAACGTGCACCCAAATCTGAGCACACGGGCCTACAACATTTCCGCCTCAATCGGAAATGCAACCGCCGCAGCCGGGATTCGAACCCGCGACCTGCGGGTCAGCAGCCGAGTACCTTAGCCACTAGACCACCGCGGCGGGGCAGCGAAATAGCTGTCGAACATCCTAAGTGGTCAGTTGTAAGCTTACGAAGCACATAAAAAATGGCTACGCAATAAGTGACTTTCATCTTTTTGCACAATGTAACTTGCTTTTTCTTGGCCACTAGTGCAAATAATTGCAAAATGAACTTACGACCACGTATGTGAAATATGCATCTCAATGGGTAGCCTGAATAAAGGTCTCTTTTTAATATTTATTTATAGAATTTCATCTAGATTTTAATATAAAAAATATGGCAGATCTCATGCACCTGGGAATCGACGTTATGCGAAGCATGCGGAGGTAAGGTGACTGCGTTGCAATTTTATTGTGTGACATGTCATGAAGTGACTCTAAATAAATGTGCAAACATTGCACGCACAGACATGTTGAAGAGTTGCAGATGTTTATATAAGCAGTTATTTGCACTTGCGCAACGATGCCAACTGGAACATACGCATTAGCAACACCAGAAGCTGATATGAAGCGCTGATGTTCGCGAGGATGCTGGCCCTGAACACTGCCACATGAATCAACTTCAGCGGATGGCAACCACAATTAACGTTAACCCGACGTGACGGAGAGATGAAAGGAGCACATGTGTAATGTTAATTGGGTAGGCAGCACTGCAACCACTATTGGCGTTTCATGAAGATTAACGTCTATTTGAAAAGTATTTCCGAGAACTAGCGTAGCTCTGTGGTAAAATGCTTCATTGCAATGCAGAATGCTTGGGTTCGATTCCAGCTGAGACCCTGATATTTATTCTTTGCATTTGTGGGGTTGACGCTACCGATTTCGGATATATTTTAACGCTCGCACGTTAAAATTGCCCATGTGTGTTCGCGTCGTTCTTCGGTAGACACTAAGCGTCAATCACCTGTGGCACAAACCCACACACCAGCGGCACATACCCGCCCGTGGGTAATGTGCCACTGTCTGGCGGGACGTGTTTGACGACGTAAGTGACAAAATTGTGACTTTATTGAGGTCTTCAGCAGCGCTTCGTATTCGTCAAACCATCTTACCCTTCCATGCTAATTTTGGTTCAGGCCAAGTTAAGGGGGTGAACACGAGTGCCCTACAACGTAAGCGGCTAGATAGATAGATAGATAGATAGATAGATATAGATTCGCTTAAAGTCGCTGAAGTTCGCTAAGAAACTCTTCGCATTTATTATAATGCTATTTGGCCTTATAACCAAAATGCCACTGTGCGCAAATACATACAATTAAATAAACGAACCTTCTGAAAGGCAAATGTACGTTAACTCTCTTCTACCCGGAAATATGGGCACAAAACATCATAGCGTGTGTGGTAGAACAACCGCCTTTGACTCGGGCAGCCGCATTTAACTTATAGACACAACAACCACTCATAATCGACGAAAGTTTCTTGCATGTGGAGGTTCTGCTTATCTAGACTACATTTGAATTATTGCCAAAGACATGAAGAGGAGCGAAGACGCCCTATGGGCGTGTGGGCGAAGGTGTACCCTAACCTACGTAACTCGAGGACTTACGAATGTAGTTGAAATCCAGCGAGTCGGCGTGGAAGTAAGCAATGGGCGGCAAGATGAAAATGGCGGTGCCCATGTAAAACATAAAATCCCAGAGGAAATTGGTGATCCAGTAGAGGAACGGCCCGATTCCCGTAATGATATGCAGGTGCTTTACCTGTGAGTAAAAAATAATGAAGCAAGCTTTAAATGCACTTCCAGCGAGGAGAAACGCATAAAGCTTCACGCACTGAGCTATACAGTGTAGCCGAAGCCGAGCGAAACACCCTGTTAGCAGAATTAGTTGTAAGTGGGAAACAATGGGCACGTATTCAAGTTCGCCGTAACTGCGAACCTCACAGTCTAGCTAGGGCTGGGCACGACCGCTCTCTGAGATTGCAACAATGCGTCGTTGCTCTGTAAGTTTGAAAGTGCGTGTTGTGTCCTTCGCAAAGCAAAACGTTGAAGTATACATAGAAAATATGACCAACATACAGTGTAGAGCTTTTTTGTGTCTGCACCACCCGGGTGAACCTGTGATTTTTTTTTCGAATTTTTAAACTTTTAAAACTGTTTAGCGTAGTCCTTGGGGGCCAGCTTACGCGCTTGACGCTAAATTATATCCGACTATATTTTACTTGCAGGCTCTTTATCTCACATTTTTGGCAGTGCTGCTCATCCGAACCTCTAAAAATATTTCGACGCAGGGACATATCTTTAACTCCTAAACAAGTAGCCTAATTTACCCTTCCAGTAATCTGGACAGCTTATGGATTAAAAGACCGCATTCCCGAGGCTTGTAATTTAATGTAGCTGGCCGATCCGTCACTAGCAAAGCACACTGAATACAAATGGTATGTCCAAATTCAGCCTTTCGGTCACGTCCCATCAGCATTCAGCATCCCGAATGCACGTGTTTTGAGCGCGGAGATCCCACAAAGTTGGAGCAATCAATGCTATTGCAAAGTTTTCTTGCAGAACTTCGCGGGGTATCACAGAATCTTGTCATGTCAAGCCAAGTCACAACAAATCACCACACCCTGTCGATTTCCCTTAATACAGCCATTCAGTCAAACACTATAGAATCGGTGTATATAAGGTCTGACCTCAAGTACTTTTTTTCATTAAGGTGTATTTGCTCCTCGCTCTTTAGAGTACCCATAGAGTAAAACGCCGAGCCACACCTGGACATCAATATGGCAGATACACAAAATAAAGAGCACTCTTTTGTTAGTTAATGTTTACAGCCTGCATTACCGAGGCTTGTAATTTAATGCAGCTGACCGATCGCTGTTTCACCAGCAAAGCACACTGAATACAAGTGGTATGTCCAAAATCAGCCTTTCGGTCACGTCCCATTAGCATTCTGCATCCCGAATAAACTGCGTTCATGCAGGCGAAGAAAACGTGAGGGTTGAATTCCACCCGCTGTAGTTGTATTTCAGTTAAGTCCAGACGCCGTAGGGCCATGCACTTGGCTTTAGGAAGTCCAGATATTCTGGGCGAAAGAGCCCTCCCTTACAGAATTCATCTTAATGATACCAATGGTTTTCGGACGTAAAACTATTCGAACTTCGGAAACGTGGTGGCTGTGGGTGTGGTTTGCCCTTCGAAATAAATACTTCGGGCATTTATAAGACGCTTCTTCGTCGCCTGCACATAACCATCATCACAAGGTGTTCTTCATTTTAAACGTTTGTGGGGACATATAATGAGTTTTGTGCCGTAGAAGACTGTTTCTGTTCACGTCTTCTAGGCCTACTAAAGGCGTGTAAAGCACTACATACTAATACTCATTATCTTAAACGAAATTGAAACGCGTTACTAGGAAGGCGCTGCTTGAAAAATATTGTGTCCACTTCATACTTAGACAAGCAATATATAAAAAAGTCATGTGTTCAGCAGTGTCTCACACGCATTGTCATGTAAGACGGTAAAAATTAGGGGGCAAGCTGCAATGAAGGTCTTTATCATTTATGAAAACAATGTGATGAAATTTTTACATAATAATATTCACAAGGGCTTGTGCTGTGCCATGATGCTATTGCTTTTTTATATTCAAAGAGACACATAAATTTTTTAAAGTTTTCTACATATTTTCTTGCTCGGACTTTTCACAACAAGCCAAATATAAAACTCTGTACGATGTGCACCTATATGTGGGAAGCTTTATGGTACTCACAAATGCCTTAGGAAGTAGGTGAAGAAAACAGAATGGCTATATCTTCATATGATGTGGAATGGCTCAGGGTTCATTGACAGAAACTGCTCAGAAAATGGAAGCTGAGAAAATGCAGGTCTCAGAAATTGGAGCTAGAGGCTAAGAAAACCAATATAGGAAAAAAGCAGGGTCTATTTTTATTGTAGAAACGCATCGTTAATGCTATCTGGAGCTCGAATATCTCCTCTCTACAATTATGTTAATTATGCTTAGTATGGTGACTGTGTGCTAAAGGAAAGCTGCAGATATTCATTTTCCAAAGCTCCACTTTGTCATTGTTTTTGATGAGAGCACACTAATAAAATGCTTTTTTTTCTTGACTTACCTTACTTACGTTGGTCTAATAAATCCCCATGCAATAAACAAACATGGTCTCAGGATTGCAGAAAAAGATAAATTGAAAAATTTTACATTTTGACCAAATTAATCATTCTTATTGCCACGTTCCCCCTAAAAAAATAAAAGTTTGGCAAGCTATACCTGCAGTGCCCGCTCGGTGATCGGAAAAAGCACAAAATTGCTGCACATCAGGCTGGACACCATGGGCAGAAATATGGAGCGCAGGATCTGAGGCAGCAGCTCCCGATAGGCGCCATGGCTCTCCCCGTGCTCTCCTTCACCACCCACATTGGCGCTGTCGAGCACAGTCACCTCGAAGCTGAACAGCACGTCGGTTTTACCGGTGACGAAGTGCAGGCGCCCATTGTTGAACAGCGTCAGTACCAATAGCGCCATGTGCTGGATCTCGCCGTTGTACCAGAGAACCGTTCTGAGAGGATCGTGAAATGACGAAGGGTTTGGGTGATCAGAATCCTCAATAATTAGTGTCCTAAATGAAAATACGAATGGAGGTATGGTGTGCTGATGGGCTCAATGGAAACAATTACTAAGCGACTGCTTTCAAGATACGGCGCTAGCGGAAAACTTGCCGGTGTCAGAGTGTAATCACCTAATAGTAACGCCGAACACAACACGATACGCTTATATTGAAATTTTGTGCTTCAGCATTCGTCGCACTGCCGAAGCGGACCGCAGAAGCCACATAGAAAAAAGATCAGGATTGCCATATTCTCAGCCTGCAGGAGGCGAAACGGCGCTAGCTGCTGTCATGAAAACCACCTGCTGTTTCAATGAGTTTAACAAGTATCCTGACAATTAACTGGCCCTTATACTACTGAGACATATGCTTCGATATCATATTTATGTAAAATACCTTAACATAAAGTATAAGTATCGATATCATAGCAATTTTACTTCTGTTAAGCGCATTTCGTCAATAGCCGCAAAACCTGAAGTAAGTTATCAATTGGACGTGTTTGGAAGAAGCACACAAAAAATCTAACTCGCTGCCGCTACACCTAATAACACTTATTGAAGTGCAGCGTCCTTCGCTTTGCCCATTCGTGCCTATCACTTATTCTGAACAGTTTTTCGCAGTGGTAGCTTAGTGACCTGACGGTGGTACCTTCCTTGTTCCAGCAGCTGCACGCCAAAGTGCGTCATGAAAACGTAATGACGCAAATCGTCCTTGGCCAACTGTAGCAGCCACTCGTCCACGTTTTCGTCAGGAAGGATGATCTCTACGGTGGTTACACCTGGCCTTAATAAGGGCAATATGTAGTCGACGTAGAACACTCCATCTTCTCTAACTTGTGCGAACCCCTGCAAAGCGAGAATATGTTTGCCACACAGGTACATCAATGAATGCGAAGTAAGGCTATTCGTTCGCTTCTAAATCATAATAATTGATCGAGTTTAATGTCCCAAAATCATGATCCGCTTGTAGAAAACACTCTGATCAAAAGAGAAGTACAGTTTACTAATTTCCGGCAGATTGCTGGGTGGGGCACCCATATATATAGGAGCTAACGAAGAGGCCGTGTCTCCCGGCAGCTTTCTTGGCCGGCTCGATCGCCCAGAGTTGCTCCTCCAGACCCCAACTTAGCAGCGCGTTCTGCCAACGCGCCCGAATGTCTTCATTGGAAATCGCCACCTAAGAATCGCTGATTAATGCTGGACATTTTCATAGGATATGGTCAAGAGTGGCTCAGCAGCTACAGTACTGGCGTAGATTAGTGTTATAGACTTTGGGATATACGTGGTGCATGATTACGGGGATCGTGTACGTGCGTGTTTGTAGCTGCCGCCACTGAACGGACTGGACCCGATTTAGGCTGGCGTGAGGTGGAAGGTACTTCCGCATTTGCATTCGATAGTGTTGAGATATGTCACAAAATTTAGTGAACCGATCGTCCCATTCCCATACCAGCGCAGAAAAGCTCGTTTGCGTGGCCACTTTGTCTAACGCGACTCGGAAAGTATAGATGTCAAGCCACGTTGTAAGCCATGTCATTAGGACTGACATGTGGGTTACTTAAGGGTGTGTGGGCTGGAAATCAAAGGATGTCTACGCATTTGTCCGCCTCGTGAATTTTGCCTGTACATTGCCTCAAGGGGAGATTCTGCCACTGGCGTAGTTCCGAACGGCCGTCAGCGAGTCGTTTTATCACATATGAGACTCCATGTGGTCTATGACCATCGAGATGGTCACTTCCTCTGCCGTTTCTACGTATCGTGAGATGATTGATGCGCTGCTTTTGCATTGTTGTTAGTGATCTACGACAGCAGCCGCGAAGCGGTGACGTTCTTGGTAGCGTGCTGCATCGACAAAGACCACCTCATGGTTGAGCCCAAAAATCTTGAACATGGCTCTGGCTCTACTGACAAGTCTGCTTTTGTCGTGTTCAGGGTGCATGTTTTTTAGTATGTGTGGTACTATGAGCTCAGCACGGATAGTGGGTGGTATCTTATGTTTGTCTCTGTGTAAAATGTGGTAAGAAATTCTGAGATTGGGTAGAATCTGGCCAATCATGGCTTACTCTTGGCTAATCACTTGAATCGGAAGATTTGTTGTGCCTCGATAAGTTCCTCAAGGGTAAAGTGTAAACCCAGTTGAAGGAGGAGTTCAGTTCTGATGTTTTCAGGCAAACCTAGCGTTTGTTTTTAGTTCTCCTAATTAGAATTTGGAGTTTTGACTTTTCTGCAGTGAGCCATTCATATTAAGTCACAGGACAGCTCCAGAATTTATGTTCATATGAGGTTTTAAATCTAAGTACATCTAAGTCTACAACTACATGGGCCTGAATGAGTTTCACCTTCAAAGAAAATGCGGCTGCGGGGCCGTGATTCAATCGTATGACCTGCAATTAAGTACAGCTGTGGAGCGCCGTGACCACTAGATGCACCGCTGGTAAACGCAGCCGCTGCATTCAATGGCGCAGCGTTCGTGCTACTTTGAATTCAAAACTATCTTGGCGATGAGAACTCGACACGCACGAGATGTATGAACCGTTGTTTGTACCCTGTAAAGACGCGGCCTGCGCTACCCCGGGTGACTCCACCCAGATGGTAAATGGATGTCCTTTGTTCCGGAGTGACAGGCAAATCCATGGCTAGAAAATTTTTTGGTAGAGGGGGACACAAGCTAGAAACCTCGACTCTCTAAAAAAATACTGATTTTCAGTATTTTTAGTATTTGTTTTCACTAGAACACCACCTTCATAAATATTGCGGGGGAGGCTAGAGCAGCCTTTCTGGCTGTGGTCCTCAACAAAGGCGTCTCTACCCACCCCTTTTTTCAGCAACCTTCATGCTTCTTTCGCACGGCGGAGACACCAGGCTCGTTTCATCACCGTTCGAGCCATATTCGTCGGAAGAGCTTCGCTGCTTTCACAAAGCACATCATGCCGGAAGATGGTAATCACTTGGACTTGTTTGGAACATGGCAGCGGCAGAAAAACTGCGTCTAACAGTGTCGCTTGCAGATATATCTCTCTCTTTGCTGCACACATGAAGTACACGAGAACTTTCATCATGCAGACTCGCGCATTACCCAATTTGTTCACTGAGTACATTGAAAAAGTGGAATTGTCTTACCGCCTTAAGGGCTGAAGTTAACGACTGTAGTTTTAATGCGTACTTTACCAGTGACCTCACAACTCTTTTTTGCTGCGTTTGGTGAACAGATCGTAACTGTTATGTTTCATATTCTTCCATGTATGGCGCTATTTCCCTTTTTAGTGCTTCACGATGTTACTTCTATTTTTTGCTTTTTTTCTATTTTTCAAATGTCTTGATATAAATTTATTGGCTTACATAGTGTGTAATATTGTAGTATTACCAATATATTACATAATGTAGGTACTATTCTATTAAAGAAAATCACTATTTTTATTCTTGTGAACGTACGTAATGCCCTATTCTAAGTAATCTATGTGGGCCCTGTAGATAATTAAATAGATGAATAGACCTGAAAATTTAGATAACGATGACTATAGAATTACATCTGTACTTTTGTATTACGCATGCTGTGCTGCGAAGCAAGGGATGGTGCATGTACCACCAAGTTGAGCCCTACACCAGTACCTGGGTCGTCTTTGAAATGATCTTTGAAATGCCTCTTTCATTGCATTTTACACCAACCCATTCCAATGTTTCACAGTGTGTGGCACGAAGCCACTAGAACCACCCATTAAAGCTATGGCGTCATCATTTCAATTTACCACCATTGTCATAATGCTCTTCAACATCGACATATTACCTCATATTACGCATCACTCGCGCAACTCATGCTAGAGCTCGAGACGCGTTCGAGCGAAAAGAACGAGCACGCTGATGGCGAAATGACCACCGGCAGCCTCAGCTGCTCTGCTTTTGCTGTGTTCGAATAACAGTGGCGAAATCGACACCGACACGACGGCTGCATTCGCGTATCTCACGTTCCTCGCTAGACAACGCATGGGAAGACCAGAAAAACCCGCGTCAAAATGGCACACGAGGAAGTAACTACGAACCCACTGATTAGAAGCTGTGTGTTTATGACTTGGATTAGCCCATGATACACTGATATGAGGCCGCCGCACCGTGATGCTGAATGAAAACAAAGAGGGACACAGTTACGTTAATTACTGTCTTATTAACTGCGTGCAAAAGGCTTATGAACACATCAAACGCGCAGTTGTTAGTTATCAAAGCAGGGAAAAATTGTAGAGGGTAGAGGTAGACGATTCGGGTGAGTTTTTCAAGGTGAAATAATCACTAGACTACTTGCTCATCCGCACAGTTTGTGTGCGTTCACATCTTTCCGGGAGACACAGGGAGAGAGCGGAAAGAAGATCAGTTTTTTTTCAGTCATGCTGAACCTACTACCCAGGCAGTAAATCCTAACCCACGTAAGGCACCCTGAACGCAGTTTGTAAAAAACGTAAAGTTATTTCGAAAAATGTTGGCACTGTAATTCTCGCAAAGAAATTCGTTTTGCATTCCTGTTGTGGGAAATATGACGTGTACTTTTTCAGTATGCTTCAGTAAAACAGCGTTGTTATTTGTAAAGATGTCTTAGAAAGAAACTCAAAATCGCTGGGATCAGCCACTCGAAAAAGAGAAAGATGAGAAGTAAATAGTACCGAAGGAATACATCTGCGTTTCTCCGTTGAGCATGCAGAACTCACCCAACTAAATACAATATGGGATGTTTTTTTATTTGACACTAGGAAAAACATCGATCTGTTCGTAATATCACAATTTTCAACTATTGACGCAAAAGCCTGCGTTTCAGCCTCGCATCTAAAAGTCGAGACCTGGGAATTTCACGCCCTGTGTTGATTTAGTCAGTTCGAGATTGATTGACACGACGTTCCCGCGTCTGTATGTCCTGAACGAAAACAACTTAAACAGCAAAAATACTTCTCTCTTGATCGCCTTGCATGCGATCTGCATTTCCTTTTCGTAATAGGAAGGTATACAATTCTCGCAAGACGTGGTCCTTGGGCGTCGGCATCACTAAACTACCTCCAGCATTGTGTATATACCATACTTAAGTACCCGCATGGTCATGCGCATCTATACTAAGTACGCCGGCGCAGCACAGCGCTTCCTCAATTCGTACTCAGTCACACTATAGCGTGTAAGAGCAAAACTGCAAAACTTCGCTGTGGCGGCTCCTCTATTCTCGAGAGATGGAACACCAAATACAAAGAAAGTATTAGTTATTAACAAGAAAATGACCACGATACTGTTTATACGCCATGTTAGTGCTGGTCAGCGTGTCTTCATTTGTGGATATAGTATTAGAAGCAGGGAATTAGACACACATTTAGCAGAGTGCTCCGAAATTTTTGTTTTTGTTTTTCAGAATCTAGATGGGAGACGACAGATGGAAACGCGTAGCGGGATAATCAGGGTGAGCAGTAGGATTTGCCTCAAACAGGCTGGCCGACGTTTCGGTAGGAGGACCTATCTTTGTCAAAGGCACCTCGTCATCCTTGGCATGTCAGTTAAAACTAACAAAGGACCGCGCCAATAAATAGTCTTACGTTGGCCTTGCCGACAAGCTCGACGAAGCTGTAGGAGAGCGTGTTGCCCACGTGTTCGGCAACGATGGCGTTCCGGTACAGTGCCACGTCCTCGAAAGTGAAGAGCAGCCAGAGCAGCATCATGGGCAGCAGCCAACTGAACAGCGGGATCTTGAGCTGCCGCGAGACGCAGGTGGCTCGCTTGCAGAACACCGCCCACATGCGGCGTGCGCATCCCGGATTCGAGGAGACCGTGCTCGCCATTACGTTCACTAAGGTGTCTGCACGAAGGCGGAATACAATTTGTGGATTGATTCCTGTATAGACTGACCTTTTCAAGCAATGATGAATCGACTGTAATTGCTGGGTATATCCGCCCCAAAATCACGATACCACAGTTAGGGACGTTATGTGCCCGAATGAAAGAAACAGAATCATTTCAGAACATTGGAACGTTGGGCAAGTTGGTGCACAGATTAATAAAATATTTGTCGCGCAACTCAGCTAAGCAGCGAAAAAAAAGGCATCGACGAAGTTGAGCGCCGGGCTTTCAACTCGTTTATTTTTTACTCACATCACCAAAATACATATACTTCCAGAGGGAGCGCAAGGAGGAGGTGCAGCACAAGCAACTCTCACATTGCATAAAAAATGCAGCAAAGTTATAGCACAGCGCGATCTAGAAATAGGCATTCTTTCTTGTACAAAACGATCGACGGGACACTGACGCATTCGTTCCCCATCATCTGTATCTGATATGCATCGAGTACTTCGCCTGCAAACATCTGCCTGGTTCATTCTATCAGAGGAGTTCGTCCGAAAAGTGGTGCGCAGCCGCACGAAGCACAACGAAATGGCAAGTGCAGCATGGTCGTGCGCATCTATACTAAGCACGTCGGTGCAGCATAAAGCATTCTCAATTCGCACTCAGTCGCACTTGAGCGTCTAGGGGCAAAACTGCGAAATTTCATTGCGGCAGCTCCTCTATTTTCGAGAGATGGATCACCAAATACAGAGAATGCGGGCACAGAGCTTCAATAGCTAATTGGGGCCGAAAAGACTACTGAAACGTCCAGTCTGTGTAGAACGTTTTCTTTTTATTGTGGGCGGAACCCGTGGTTTCTTTTTCTGCACAGCCTCGTGCTTCCTGCTGCACCATTTAAGCTTCCGAACCAGAGATTCGGACACCATGGTAATGGCCCCCAAAGGAAAACCTGCTGGAACCAGCCTTGAAATCAGATCCTGACAACTGTCCTTCACGGTGGGCTTGCACGACTTCAACAACGCAGACCGCCGACACAATGTCGCAGTGGCTCTGTGGCAAACACTGTGCAGAAACCTGCGCAGCCACGTTTCGTCTGTGGTTAGGGCGGCGTGACGCGGCCACTTGCTGCAACACGCTGACAAGTAAAGGACAGTTCCACCGCTGCTTAATCACTGGCTTACGTCACCACTAGTGGTTATAAAACCTAAGCTGCCAAGCTCGGTTCATTCATTTCTCGGTTACTTCTGACAATACTTCTGAATAGCGTGGCGTCGGTGTGTTCCATCTGATGCTTTTCCTATAGATCGAATAAACAATTGTGTTTTCCTGTTGATTTGATTTGATTTGATTGATATGTGGGCTTTAACGTTGCAAAAGCATACATGGTTATGAGAGACGCCGTAGTGTAGGACGCCGCAAATTTTCACCACCTGGGGTTTTTTAACGGGCACCCAAATCTGAACACACGGGCCTACTGCATCGAAAATGGATGTTTGTCATGTTGATATCCGTCTTTCGTGAACAGGGAATCCCACAGCTGTTTTCGTGGTTTTCACGGGTGCAGAATCATAAGGTAGGAGGTATTCCGTGCATGGGGGCTGTATAGTCAGGACGAATGTGTAGCGCTTAATGACAGGTTAATGAAAAAAACTTTGAATAATCGTCATGAGGTAGCTCATCCGTAAACGTCAAGCCTTTACCGTGCTGTATAAAAGCAGATAAAACTTTCTTTACATCGTCCCGAGAATTTGATTGATATGTGAAATGTAACGTCCCGAAACCACCATGTGATTATCAGAAGACGCCGTGGTGGAGGGCTCCGAAAATTTCGACCACCTGGAATTCTTTAAGGGCACTAAAATCTGAACAAACGGGCCTACCACATTGCCGCCTCCATTGGCAAACGCAGTCGCCAAAGTCAGGATTCGATCTCGCGACCTGCGCATCAGCAGCCGAGCACGTCAGCCACTACACCACCACGGTGGGGCATCGTCACAAGGAGTCACAGTGTTAAAGGTGCTTAAAAATGCAAGAAACTCGTCATCTTTTCTTTAATGCAATGTGATAGTCACTTGTGCAGCGCTCCATCCTTGTGCGCAATCTGGAATCATGTGTATTTGGGTGATGTAAAGAAATAACCGAGTCTCGCACCCTAACCTGTCTCCTCCTTTATTCCATGCTAATCTCAGTAGCGCAGCAAATATTTCATTGAAAAAATTGAATCGCTCTTGCAGATGCGTGTACATGAGCTAAGAACGCTCAGAATTTCGTTTTACTACACCAGATCAGTTTTCTAGGTTATATTTTTAAAAGATGTTGAAGGGCAGCTCACAGCACAGAACCATGTCTTTATGTCTGCACGTTTCCGTTGGCAGTTTAACCAGTTTTCATGTTATTGGCCCTTGTGCCATAACACTTCATTTATCATCAGTTTTCATCTCATGGAAGAGCACTAATTCCAGGCAAGGTGATTTCAAGCTATGCTCTCTTATGAGTACCGCCCCTAATGATTCTTAAAGCATTCATGACCGTTGGATATTACACAGTCCTTGTATTTTGTCCCCCGAGTCACAACCGGTGACAGTTGATAGATGGAGGAGCACACTTGATGATCAAATTAAGATTTCTGTCTTAAATATTGTTTTGTTAGACCAGAGCGATTGGGCAAGCGATGAAGCGTCACTACAGAGTCAATAAGTATTTTCGCTCCAAAAAAAGTAATAGAATAAATATCTTATCCCAAAAGTTGCCACGGTACTGCGCCATACAGAGGAATGATCACAGGAGAAGAAAGCGACACTTCGAGCGCGCTGAAGTGGTGAATCTCCCCCACAAATAAGCCCTGATTTAGAGGTTGGAGTGATTTGATAACAACAAATATCATTCACTACATAGCTGTTAATATTTATTGCTTAGTCTACTTGTATATTATAATCTAAAAATTTTTTGGAAATTTTAAATCAGTTACGTGTCATTGCGGCATTCGCAGAAAAAGCATCGCCAAAAATGGATTAATTGTTCAAATATAGCAGTTTTGTGGCGTTCACCTAAGGTGCACGTGGACGCACTAATACTGTACAGGAGCTGTATACTGTAGTCCGCGAGTAATTCGGGCCCATTTCTTAGTTGAAATTAACTACAAAACTTAAGTCATTCGTTTGACCGTTTTCTTATAGTTATTTTTTTCCTTCGGTTGCCACGTTTTCACAAACGTTATTTTTTCACACAAATTCAAAGCAATATAAACTTTCGTCCAGCTCGTAGGTAAGCAACAGCAGGCTGAAATTTTGCAATTACTTAAGAAAAAAGCTGCGCATTGTGTAAGACCAACCCTTGGTTTCAATCATGGAAGCATCATGCTGCTTGATGGTCTCAGTGAGCTTATGGCTGTGCACGTGGTGTTCTTCGGCGACACCTATGAGGACGTCTTCGAGTGAAGTCACCGTCAAGCCCAGCGACTCGATGCCCAAGTGTCTGCTCTGCTTTTCGATGTCCTGTAACGTTGAAACATTATAATTTTTTTTCTCTGATTCACTGCACTCCACTTGACGCTTGGTCGCATCTAGAAAATGATGGGGGAGATAAGGAAGCAATTTAAACAAATTTCCGCTATTGCGTTCAACGTCTACTTCTGCAACTTGGAAGGGGGCCGAATATGTTGTAAGTGTAGGGATAGAACGCGCATACTAAAAATGATTGCCTACAAAAACACAGGGGTGGCTGGCAGTGCTTTTAGTCAAATGGGGTGTGCGCATGAAGTCATTCACTTTGCTCCTTTAAAGATAAACAAAGTATGTGTTACTCTTTTCGTGGAACTACGACTTGTCACGGATATCATTATCATCATCATCAGCCTGATTACGTCCACTGCAGGACAAACGCCCCTCCCACGTTCCGCCAGTCAACTCGGTCCAATGCTTGCTGCTGTCAATGTCTACTCGCAAACCTCTTTTAATCTCATCTACCCACCTAACCTTCTGTCTACACTAAACCCGCTTGCCTTCTCTGGGAATCCAGTTTGTTAATCTTAATGACCAGTGATTATCCTGTCTGTGCGCTACATGACCAGCCCATGTCCATTTCCTTTTCTTGATTTCAACTAAGATATCTTTAACCCCGGTTTGCTCCCTAATCCCCTCTGCTCTATTCTTGTCGCTCAAGGTTACACCTACCATTTTTCTTTCCGTTGCTCACTGCGCCGTCCTCAATTTAAGCTTAACCCTCTTTGTAAGTGTCCAGATTTCTGCTCCGTAGCTAGGTACCGGCAATATGCAGCTGTTATATACCTTCCTCTTGAGAGATATAGTGGCAATCTACCAGTCATGAGTTGAGAGTGCTTGCCAAATGTGCTCCACCCCATTCTGATAGTTCTAGTTACTTGAATCTCGTGGTGCGGCTCCGCAGTTATTACCTGTCCTAAGTAGATGTAGTCTTTTACAACTTCAAGTGCACTGTTACCTATCTCGAAGCGCTGTTCTCTTCCGAGGTTGTTCTACATTACTTTCGTTTTCTGCAGATAAATTTTCGGACCGACTTTTCTGCTCTCCTTGTCTAACTCCGTAATCATGAGTGGCCATTCGTCCCCTAAATTACTCATCAATACAATGTCATCGGCGAAGCGCAGGTTACCAAGGTACTCTCCATTAACTCTTATGCCTGACTGTTTACATTCTAGGCCTCTGAAAACCTTCTGTAAGCACGCGGTAAATAGAATTGGGGATATCTTATCCCCCTGCCTTACACCCTTCTGGATTGGTAGTTTGTTGCTTTCTTTATGAATCACTATGGTAGCAGTTGATCCCCTGTAGATTTCTTCCAGGATGTTTATATATTCTTCGTCGACGCCCTGATTCCACAGTGTCTGCATGACTGCTGAAATTTCAACTGAATCAAACGCCTTCTCGTAATCTATGAAGGCTACGTATTGTGGTTGGCTATGTTCTGAGCATTTCTCTATTACCTGATTGATATTATGAATGTGGTCGATTGTTGACTAGCCTGTTCGAAATCCTGCTTGTTTCTTTGGTTGATTGAATTCTAATGTCTTAATTCTGTGAGCAATTAGCTTTATAAATAGCTTCTATACTACGGAAGGCAAGCTGATCGGCCTGTAATCCTTAGAGTCCTTGTCATCTCCTTTCTTATGTATTAAGATGATGTTGTCATTCTTCCAAAATTCTGGTACTCTTCCCGTCAGGAGACACCTCGTAAACAGGGTCGCTAGTTTCTCTAACACAATATGTCTTCCATCTTTCAGCAGATCCGAGGCTACCTGATTCTCACCAGCAGCTTTGCCTCTTTGCATGCTCTCTAAGGCTTTTCTGACTTCTATCATTACTGGTGGAGTGTCATCTGGGTTTCATCTAGTTCTTATATTAAGGTCGTGGTTGTGCTGGCTACTCTACAGATATCTGTGAAACTTCTTCGCTAATTTTACTATCCTATTCATATTGCTAGTTACCTTGCCTTCTTTGTCCCTTAGTGCATACATCTGCTGTTTTGTTTTGCCTATCCCAAGTTTTCTCATCACTGCTTTGACGTTTCCTCCGTTCTTCAGAGCGTGTTCAATTCTCTCCATGTTATACCTTCTTACGTGGATATATTACGCTTATTAATCAACTTCGAAAGCTCTACCAACTCTAATTTGTCGGTTGTACTTGAGGCTTTCATGCTTTGACGCTTCCTAATGCGATTATTCGTTTCCTAGGACAGCTAGCTAGTGTCCTGTCTAACTACAGTACCCCCAGCACACTCCGTAATGATACTCGTCATATTATCACTCATTTCGTCAACGCCAATGCTGCTTTCCTCGGTAAGAGTCGAGTACCTGTGCTGAAGCGTGACTCTGAATTCTTGTACTTTCCTTCTCAGTGCTAGCTCAATAATTTTGCTTCTTGCGTACACGTTCCTGTCATTCCTTCTTCAAGTATAGGCGAAATCGGGATTGTACCATTCTATGATCACTGCATCGTACCTTCCCCAAGCACTTCCACATCTTGCACGATGCCGGAGTGTGCACTCAGTATGAAGTCTATTTCGTTATTTTCGCCATTAGGGCTCCTTCATGGCCACTTACGGTTCCCTCGCTTTCGGTAGAAGGTATTCAAAATCCGTAAATTATTGCGTTATGCGAATTCTACTGGTAGCTCCCGTATGGCATTTCTACTACCGATGCCATAATCTCCTACTGCCTGGTCTCCAGCTTGTTTCTTCCCTATTTTTGCATTAAAGTCTCCCATGAGTACAGTATACTGTGTTTTTACCTTACTCATAGCCGATTTCACGTCTTTTAAGAGATGCGTTAACAAACTTTTGGTTGGTACAACTCTCAAACAATAGCATAAAAATCTTCAAAAAGAACTCACCTGTATTCTTAAAGACACATCTAGCCTGCTAGTAAGGACTCGCAAAAATGAATCGAAGGACTGCTTTCATTAGAACGTGACACTGACTTGCTGCCTGTGTTATATAATGCACGAGTTTTGTACCAAAAGTAAGATACCCATATTTTTACAAATAAAAACTATTATTGTTATCAATTGATACCTCATTAAAAAGCTTACACTTTTGTCTAGTTTTCAACCTAGCTTCCATTTTTCGACACACTTTTTGAAGATTGTGTTCCAGCGTTTGTATTCCTCAGTTAAAGAGGCCTCCCACCAACCCGTTGAGGAAGCGCATCGCCTCTGCTAAGACTTGATCGTCGCTCTTGAAGGGAGGTGGCACAGAACCAGACTGACGCCACGGACGAGATTGTTGTTTTGTTTCTGGTGTATAATCAAACACCCACGTTTATTCTCCCGTGACGACAGAGTCCAACAACTTCACTTTGTTGCCTTCCTACAACAACAATAAGTTGCCTCCCTGCACAATTTGCGGACGTGCTGAAAGGACATGCACTATTCACGATAAACCTATGTCATTTGCCTATAAACCTCCACGGGTGGCCATTTCCTTGCGTGGAGAAAGTGGAGTAATGCTCAAACGTTGTACTCGGTGGGAGTGGTGATTAACACTTGAACTCCGACGGCTGCCAAGCGAACACAGAGTGACGTAGCGAATCGCGCATGAATGTGCTTGAGAGAGGGGATCCACTGTTCACGGTACTGTTGTCGGAATCACCGTAGCACCTTCTCTCAAGGCTGTAGCTCAATGGAAACCTCAGTTTTGATACAGACTTCGAACAACTGCGTCAAACATGTCGGGTGAACTCACCCGAAACATGTTGATGATGCGTTTAGTGGAGGGAGTATGTCCCAAAAGGAAGGTGACCTCGTTGAAGGAGTCGCTCTGCAGTTTCACTTTAGGTGCATACTTGCGCAGAAGCATCTCTATGCGTGACACGTCGCAAGTGGGGCTCTTGTAGATTAACATGCGGTAGCCAGTGTTGAAGCGCTGCTTTAGGAATGTCGGAGAGCCGGCGCATCTGGACAAACAAAAACAACGAGCTTTCATTTTTATGTGCCTAAATAAGTGTCTCTTCAATGTTAAAATGAATAAGGTCCTTTTTTCAGCCCTATTATGGCGCAAATTACTTGTTATAGACAACTCTGTCAGTGGAAGTTATAGAAGCGTTGGCATTTGATTAGTTATGCAAACTTCAGATTATATAGAGTTCGGAGATAATCAGTTTCGTAGCTCTCAGAGCGACGATAGTTATAGCGCGAGAACAGAACAACGACACAAAGACAAGAAGGACACGTGTCCTTTGTGTCCTTCCTGTCTCTGTGTCCTTCCTGTCTCTGTGCTATAACTATCGTCATGTCATACAACTAGCCCAAGCTGCCACACTTCTCAGGGCGAGCCCCGCCGCGGTGGTCTAGTGGCTAAGATTCTCGGCTGCTGAGCCGCAGGTCGCGGGATCGAATCCCGGCTGCGGCGGCTGCACTTCCGATGGAGGCGGAAATGCTGTAGGCCCGTGTGCTCAGATTTGGGTGCACGTTAAAGAACCCCAGGTGGTCGAAATTTCCGGAGCCCTCCACTACGACGTCTCTCATAATCATATGGTGGTTTAG